GTTATATTGACTGAAGAAATATATTGTCTACTATATATATCACACTCTGTTTTAATTGGTTTGTTAATTTCGAGAACACTGGGAGTGAAGTCACTCATGTAGAACATCACCTCCCTTTTCCCGGACTGTCGACAAGTAATCTGGACGGATTATTTCTTGTTGTCGACAGTCCGGGCATAAACCATATATATCACCCAAATTACTTTGTTTGAAGGAAGTAAACCTAAGTGCAAAATATTGCACGTTTGATTTGCGATTGTACGCAGATAATTTTGTTTATTTGTTTTTCATAATCAGCGATGTATATTATATGGTATGAATAAATGAGAATTCAGTTTTAATTATGTTTATTTTTTTGGTTGCATCTAAGCTTTAAAGTTTTTTTCACTTTGTACAGTTGATGGGAACATGTGCGATCGAATGCATGTACAATGATAACATCATGTGACCAGTGGCACGTGAAAAACACGTTTTAGCACTATTGTGGAGTCACGATGTTTGGATTGACTTTAATATGCTGTGGTGACTTGTTTCGTGAGTAGATACTTGGGGATTAGTATTATGATAACCGAAAACTGTCTACTATAATTATTAATATTTTTATTTACAAACATAAATTGTGAAGTTTATATTTTGACTCAGTATATAACATCATAATGCCCTCTAGTGGCTTTGATTCTATGAGTAACTTTGATGTATGATGTGATGAGTTTGTTATATCTGATATGTATCATGTATATTACTTCAGGTTCTGCTCCATCCTCACCATGACATTGTTTCTGATTTATGACGGCATCAGTTGTTTCATAATTACATCGCTTCTTGTTCTATCCTCACCATGACATTGTTTCTGATTTATGACGGCATCAGTTGTTTCATAATTACATCGCTTCTTGTTCCATCCTCACCATGACATTGTTTCTGATTTATGACGGCATCAGTTGTTTCATAATTACCATCCTCATTTCTGATTTATGACGGCATCAGTTGTTTCTAATTCTTGTTCCATCCTCACCTTGACATTGTTTCTGATTTATGACGGCATCAGTTGTTTCATAATTACATCGCTTCTTGTTCCATCCTCACCTTGACATTGTTTCTGATTTATGACGGCATCAGTTGTTTCATAATTACATCGCTTCTTGTTCCATCCTCACCATGACATTGTTTCTGATTTATGACAGCATCAGTTGTTTCATAATTACATCGCTTCTTGTTCCATCCTCACCATGACATTGTTTCTGATTTATGACGGCATCAGTTGTTTCATAATTACATCACTTCTTGTTCCATCCTCACCATGACATTGTTTCTGATTTATGACGGCATCAGTTGTTTCATAATTACATCGCTTCTTGTTCCATCCTCACCATGACATTGTTTCTGATTTATGACAGCATCAGTTGTTTCATAATTACATCACTTCTTGTTCCATCCTCACCATGACATTGTTTCTGATTTATGACGGCATCAGTTGTTTCATAATTACATCACTTCTTGTTCCATCCTCACCATGACATTGTTTCTGATTTATGACGGCATCAGTTGTTTCATAATTACATCGCTTCTTGTTCCATCCTCACCATGACATTGTTTCTGATTTATGACGGCATCAGTTGTTTCATAATTACATCACTTCTTGTTCCATCCTCACCTTGACATTGTTTCTGATTTATGACGGCATCAGGGTCTTGGATGTTTCGATACAGATTCTTGTACCGTTGTCAAGCATAAATGCATAAATGCTTGACAACGGTACAAGAATCTGTATCGAAACATTGCACTCACGAATAGAAAGAAGTTTTTATCCCTAAAGTTTGTTCTATATTGTACTTCCCAACTTCTAACATGCCACTCCAAGAAGGTAGAGTCTTCATAGTTGTGGCCACAAGAGCAAGATGATGTTGGAGATATAAATCTTTCATATTTGTGCTCATTAAGGTCACTACATTCAAGTCAGAGACGAGAATATATGATTTGACAAAATCTGCTACTGAAATTTAAGTCAAAATGACTGTAGATATTAGAATAATTTAAAAGTTCATTTTTGAATCTTGATAGGCACGGTGAGTCTCTATGTTCAGCTGGTAATGAATTCCATAATATAACAGTATCTGGAAGAAAGGACCTCGCATAATTTACAGATTTACAGTTTATAGTCTGAAGATTTGAATCACCGCGCAGATTATAACAAACGATATCTGATACTCTAAGTCTAGGCAGAACAAGGTTACTAAGGTAACTTGGCGTAGTGTTATGAACCATTTTGTAAAACATGGTCATTTTATGAAGGTACCTTCTACGACACAATGGGTGACAATTAGTTTCTTTGTACATTTTATGATGACTGGTGCCATGAGCAGCACCACACATGGTTCTTAGAGCATCAAGATGAGCTTTTCAAGTATATCTGCTTGCTGTTTAGTCCAATTATACCATATATGACTGCAATAATAAAAAAACTGGTAATATGAACTGTTTGTACATGGTTTCTAATGTTTCTCAGTTTAAACGATATTTGAGACTTCTTAGACAATTCACCATTGGTGCAACTATTTCAGCACAGTCGTTAATGTATTCATTCCATGAGCAATCATGCTGAAGTATAAGACCTAAATGTTTATGACTTTGTACGGAATTAATGACATTACTATTCATGGTTAGGTTCGGCACTGGAGTTGGTTGCAATTTACGAGTAAAGCATATTGACTCTGTCTTATGGGATTAATAGATACTTGGGTAACCCCCCATTACCCCTACATGCCACTACCCCTACAGCTTATAACAACATAGTTTACGGTCTGTTGCACTGTTAATCCACTGCCTGTTACCTATTCCACACAATGGACTAATCCACTTAAGAGACATGACAACACACAACTATAAGGTTGAGAGAATGATTTTAATGATCATCATTTGTCATCATCAAGATTTTAATAAGAATTAACAATAATTCGTCATCATGATTCTTTGATGGACATTAAAAATTAATTGTTAACATTAAATGTTAACATAGTCATTTGTGTCAAGTGTTTCAGTCTATGAACATTCAGTGTTTCAATCTATCCCAGCTTAAGCAGATAGCCGACGGCGTCCAAGAACTGAAGAGGTGATTTCTGTCCAAGCTCAAGCTGCTCCTTGAGTCTACACAGGCGATTGTCAATCTCCCTGAAGACTCGCTTTCTGCTTCTTGTCGCAGCACCAAAGTCTATTTGTGAAATCTTCACCCTCTCAGCATGTTCAATTCTCCTAATGACTTCTACAAATTTCACGGTTCAGTCGGTTGTGAAAACCTTCTAGATTGTTGTTTGTCCTCGGCCCAGTTGTCAGGTTGTGGTTCCACAGGGGAAGTAGACTCTTCCTCTGCATGTTGACTGAACACACTTCCAGTGTACACAAGACTGTCTCTCGACATTCTTAGTGTGAAGATAACCGTCAAATAGGACTTGGGGGCTACCTCTCCGTGACATAACAAACTCAACATTACGCAGACCAGCCATGTTGATGCCATGTTAGTTTGTTGTCAACAGCTATATACTATACCGAACTATCTCAATTTACTTTCTCGTCTCACCTTCTCATTTCCCTCCACTTCTCAATAATATTGTGTATCTTTTATCATGGCACTAAAACAACTTAATTTCAACATTTAACAACCTACACATTATCCAATTTGTAAAATTGTTCTATACACTAGAGGTTTATCTTTCATCATGAAACTAAAACAACTTTTAGGTAATCCCAAATTTCCTTGACACAAAACACTAAAGAACAGTTTAATCCCTCCCTTGATCTCATCTGTATACTCTATGCACTAATCTCTCTTTGGGTCAGTTCATTATGCCAGACAGGTAAATGCCGTGTGTTGTTTTAACTAATTGTAGGGGTACTGGGCTGTAGGGGTAGTGGCATGTAGGGGTTATGGGATATAACCGATACTTGCCATTTTTCTGCCCATTCGGCAATTCACTGTAAATCGTCGTTTATTACAATAGCAGTTACCCCTGGATCATCAATGATCACATATAAAGAAGTATCATCCGGAAAAAGGCGTACATTACTATTTAGGGATAACTGGGATACCCTGACATGTGCTGACTGGTGAGTCAGACACAAAACCCTCGGACAACAAGCCCCCATGACACAAAACCCTCGGACAACAAGCCCCCATGACACAAAACCCTCGGACAACAAGCCCCCATGACACAAAACCCTCGGACAACAAGCCCCCATGACACAAAACCCTTGCAAAATTTCACCCAAAGGATAAAACACCTTTACTGATGAATCATCAAATCCTCCTTTCCCACTTGTATACAAGGGGTTAAGATGGTGGTATAGTTTATCACACTGCATTATAAATGTGTCATGTTGTTAATATTGTAAAACTTATAGTGTATTATATTTACATGATATATTCATGTGAGAATAATTACATGTGCTGCAAAATGATTTGTTTGTATTCTATTACATCTTTTCATTTCCTACCCACTGAGGACCTGTGAAGGTCCGGGTTAGAATATGGATCTTCAGTAACCCATGCTTGTCGTAAGAGGCGACTAAATGGATCGGGTGGTCAGACTCACTGACTTGGTTGACACATGTCATCGTATCCCAATTGCGTAGATTGATGCTCGTGCTGTTGATCACTGGATTGTCTGGTCCCGACTCGATTATTTACAGACCGCCGCCATAAAGCTGAAATATTGCTGAGTGCGGCGTAAAACTAAACTCACTCACTCACTCACTCCTACCCACTGAGGGCTTTTTGTCATGGGCTCATTTAGCCTAGGGGTGTTTTGTCTGGAGGCTTTTGGTCTGAGTGGGCCTATTATCCTACCACCGTGTCGACCAAGTCAGTGAGCCTGACCAACACTGGCACACAAATTAAAAGTCAATCATGATGTAGGACATGGAATAGCTCACCTATACATGCAGTCTGACTCTGACAAGGCATACAGCATATCTGGCACCTGACAAGATCTTAACACATAGCTCACCTGAACATACCCTCTAGCCTCGAGAAAGCCATCCTATTTGACGGTGGGAAGGTCTCACGTAGTCGGCAAAGTAGAGTCAAGCAGTATTCTATGAACAGGTTGAAGGACTCAGCAAGGCTCTCTTCCTGGGAATGAAATCATCGCTTGTGCTATTTTATATTTATCAATTCACAACTGGAAACACAGAGAGATATGCTCATCACTCAGACTTAGTATGTCAACATGTTGTGATATACAGTCATCCCTTGCCATAAAGCGAGGTCCATGCATGACCCCCCGCATCAGGAGACACCTGTGTTATACACAACACAGAATAAAGGCTGAGTAATATTATCCATGGCACAACTGCTGTTTCGTGTATTGTGTCCGGTCAAAATTATGCTGTATCGTTGGAGGTGACATAACAAACTTGTTGTAAATGAAAATGAAAAAAAACCCAAAACTTTGTAAATGAAAATAAGATATATGTGTAGGAAACTTGCAATCAAACATCACTAGACATGATGATTTCATTGGCGTTCCTGTTATGCTACCTGTTAGTCAACTAAGCTGGAAATAGCAATCAGCTGTGTACACATGAATCTACCGGTGATTCAGTTAAATTTATTTAAAAATATATTAATATTTATTGCTATTGTATTAGTAGAATGCATGTTTTCTATGAATATATTTAACATAATAAACAATGGCTCAGCACTTAGGGTACGTGTCTGGATACATTTTATGTATAGGACAGTTTGACAAGTCACCGTTGACTTCCTGTGGTACTGTGGCCCTTTGACAGTAAAAACAAAAAGTTCGTATTTAATTGTCAAATATGACTTAAATGAATCCATAACAGAGGTCTAGTGGTCAGTTTGTGATTGCTGAGATTAATGTGAACATTGGTGCTATCGCAGTAGCCCCGAAAAGCAAACCCTCAAATGCATATAGAATGAGGTGATGTCATTTAACACACATTGTCTTTTATGTTCGAACTTTGCTAGTTTACAACATCATTGGACGTGATTAACCCAAGCAGCTGATTTGTTGACATCCTATTTCCAATGACATGAAGATTTGTGATCGCTGGGCAACATTTTTTATTGGGTCCACAGATTACCTTGTTGTTTAACTGAATCCATGGTATCACAAAGAGTGTTATTGCGAGGAAGACTGTCCATCACTCAATGGACATAATCATGTCAACATAGAAGTGGAGAAAGACTCACCCACTCCCTGGAGAGAGCAGAAGGACTCACCTCATTCCTGGAGAGAGCGGAAGGACTCACCTGATCCCTGGAGAGAGCAGGACTCACCAACTCCCTGGAGAGAGCAGAAGGACTCACCAACTCCCTGGAGAGAGCAGGACTTACCTCATATCTGGAAAGAGCGGAAGGACTCACCAACTCCCTGGAGAGAGTAGAAGGACTCACCTCATGCCTGGAGAGAGCAGGACTCACCTCATACCTGGAGAGAGCAGAAGGACTCACCTCATCCCTGGAGAGAGCAGAAGGACTCACCTCATCCCTGGAGAGAGCAGAAGGACTCACCTCATCCCTGGAGAGAGCAGAAGGACTCACCAACTCCATGGAGAGAGCGGAAGAACTCACCTCATGCCTAGAAAGGCAGAGGACTCACCTCATACCTGGAGAGAGCAGAAGGACTCACCTCATCCCTGGAAAGAGCAGAAGGACTCACCAACTCCCTGGAGAGAGCGGAAGGACTCACCTCATGCCTAGAAAGAGCAGAAGGACTCACCTCATCCCTGGAGAGAGCAGGAAGGACTCACCTCATCCCTGGAGAGAGCGGAAGGACTCACTTCATCCCAGGAGAGAGCAAAAGGACTCACCAACTCCCTGGAGAGAGCAGAAGGACTCACCAACTCCCTGGAGAGAGCGGAAGGACTCACCTCATGCCTAGAAAGAACAGAAGGACTCACCTCATCCCTGGAGAGAGAGGAAGGACTCACCTCATCCCTGGAGAGAGCGGAAGGACTCACCAACGACCTGGAGAGAGCAGAAGGACTCACCTCATCCCTGGAGAGAGCAGAAGGACTCACCTCATCCCTGGAGAGAGCGGAAGGACTCACCAACTCCCTGGAGAGAGCAGAAGGACTCACCTCATCCCTGGAGAGAGCAGAAGGACTCACCTCATGCCTAGAAAGAACAGAAGGACTCACCTCATCCTGGAGAGAGCGGAAGGACTCACCTCATCCCTGGAGAGAGCGGAAGGACTCACCTCATCCCAGGAGAGAGCAGAAGGGCTCACCAACTCCCTGGAGAGAGCAGAAGGAGTCACCAACTCCATGGAGAGAGCGGAAGAACTCACCTCATGCCTAGAAAGAGCAGAAGGACTCACCTCATACCTGGAGAGAGCAGAAGGACTCACCAACTCCCTGGAGAGAGCAGAAGGACTCACCAACTCCCTGGAGAGAGCAGAAGGACTCACCTCATGCCTAGAAAGAACAGAAGGACTCACCTCATCCCTGGAGAGAGCGGAAGGACTCACCTCATCCCTGGAGAGAGCGGAAGGACTCACCTCATCCCAGGAGAGAGCAGAAGGACTCACCAACTCCCTGGAGAGAGCAGAAGGACTCACCAACTCCCTGGAGAGAGCGGAAGGACTCACCTCATGCCTAGAAAGAACAGAAGGACTCACCTCATCCCTGGAGAGAGCGGAAGGACTCACCTCATCCCAGGAGAGAGCGGAAGGACTCACCAACGACCTGGAGAGAGCAGAAGGACTCACCTCATCCCTGGAGAGAGCAGAAGGACTCACCTCATCCCTGGAGAGAGCGGAAGAACTCACCAACTCCCTGGAGAGAGCAGAAGGACTCACCTCATCCCTGGTGAGAGCAGAAGGACTCACCTCATCCCTGGAGAGAGTGGCGGGCTTCCACACCTTGTCAAGGTTGGTCAGGTGAGCCAGGAGCAGGTTGTAGGAGAGTGGGTATTTGGCATGCTGGCGGCTGTGGGCCATCCAGCGACTGGGGAAAGAGATTCAACAATCACTAAACGAGCATATCCTCATTGACATCCATCCACACCAACCTTGGGCAATAAAATCAACAATCACAATACAGAAAAGCAGGGTGTGAGTGTGGAAGTGGGTGAGGGTGTGGAAGTGGGTGTGGGTGTGGGTGTGGGTGTGGGTGTGGGTGTGGAAGTGGGTGTGGGTGAGGGAGTGGAAGTGGGTGTGGATGTGGAAGTTTGTGTGGGTGTGGAAGTGGGTGTGGGTGTGGGTGAGGGTGTGTAAGTGGTTGAGGAATGGGTGAGGGTTAGGGTGTGGGTGAGGGTGTGGAAGTGGAGTGAGGGTGGAGTGGGTGTGGGTGTAGGTGTGTGAAGTGGGTGGGGTGTGGGTGTGGGTGAGTGGGTGTGGAAGTGGGTGTGGTGTGAAATGGGTGTGGGAAGTGGGTGTGGGGTGAGGTGGGTGTGGTGTGTGAAAGTGGGTGTGGAAGTGGAAGTGGGTGTGAGGTGAGGGTGAGTGGGTGTGAGTGTGGAAGTGGGTGTGGGTGTGGAAGTGGGTGTGGGTGAGGGATGAGGGTGAGGGTGAGGATGTGGGTGTGGGTGAGGGTGTGAGTGGGAAGTGGGTGTGGAAGTGGGGTGTGGAAGTGGGGTGGGGGTGAGGGTGAGGGTGTGTGTGTGGAAGTGGGTGTGGGTGAGTGTGGTGGGTGAGGGTGGGTGAGGAAGTGAGGATGTAGTGTGAGTCGAGGGTGAGGGCGAGGGTGTGGGTGTGAGGTTGTGGTAGTGGGTGTGGGTCGAAGGTGTAGGTGTGGTCGATGTAGGTGTGGGAAGTGGGTGAGGAGTGAGGATGTGGGAGTGAGGGTGGGTGGAGTGGGATGTGGGTGAGGTGTGGATGTGGGTGTGGATGTGGGTATTTGTGGGTGTGGGTGATCCAGCAGACTGGGGAAGAGATTCAACAATCACTAAACGCAGAGCATATCCTCTTGACATCCATCCACACACCAACCAGGCAATAAAATCAACAATCACAATACAGAAAAGCAGGGTGTGAGGTGTGGAGTGGGTGAGGGTGTGGGAAGTGGGGTGTGGGTGTGGGAAGTGGGTGTGGAGGTGGAAGTGGGTGAGAGGGAAGTGGGTGTGGAAGTGGAAGTGGGTGTGGGTGTGGGAAGTGGTTGAGTAGGTGTGGGTGAGGAAGAGATGTGTGGAAGTGGAGTGAGGGGTGAGATGTGAGGGTGGGAAGTGGGTGTGGGTGTGGAAGTGGGTGAGGGTGTGGGTGTGGGGTGTGGGTGTGGGTGGGGAAGTGGGTGAGGATGTAGGTGTGGAGGTGGGTGTGGGTGAGGGAGGTGTGGAAGTGGGTGTGGATGTGTAGGGAAGGGATGGGTGTGGGTGTGGGAAGTGGGTGTGTGGGTGTGGGTGTGGGTGAGGGTGTGGGAAGTGGTTGTGGGAATGGGTGAGGTTAGGGTGTGGGTGTGGGGTGTGTGGGAGTGATGGGGTGAGGGTGTGGGAAGTGAGGTGTAGGTGTGGAAGTGGGGAAGAGGTGTGGGTGTGGGGTGTGGAAGTGGGTGTGGGAGAATGGAGGTGCTTAGAGTGGGGTGCTGGGGAGTGGGTGTACAGAGTGTGAAAATTAAGATTTAAGGAAGTGAGATGGCAGTGTGGGTAGAGAGGTGAGAAATTATGGAGGTGAGTGGAATTGTGGAGTGTAGGTGTAAGTGGAGGTGTAGAGTGAGAAGTAGGTGTGAAGTGTGGAAGTGTGTGGGTGTAGAGTGGGTGTGGGTGAGATAGGAGTGAGATGCTAGAGTGAGGGTAGGTGTGGTATGAAGTGGGCAGTGAAGTAGGTGTGGAGTGAGGAGTGAGAAGTGTAGGTATGGCGTGTGTGAGAATTGTGAGAATTAATAGGTGAGGTGTAGTGAGTAAGAGTTCAAGCGAAAAGCGAAAGAGATCATCCGATAAAATCAAAGGTATAAATATAAATGTAAAATACTGAGTATAGAAATGCGTGTCGGTCGAAGTGAGATCTCGTCATAGAAAATAAAATTCGAGTAAGAGATAATAGAGTAAAAGGTATAGATATGCGTCTGCAAGTGCTCACGATATTAAAGTATGGATCGCCGGTAGTCGCGGCTTCGAGAAAAATTCATCCACCGCAAACCTCAACATCCATCATCTCGCTTTTTCGAAGTCTCTCGTCTCAGAAAATGCGTAAAGTGTAAATCTGGTCATCTGATGCGTCTCGGTCATAAATGCATTAAAGTCGTCATAAATGGTCTCGTAAAAAGTGTCGTTAAAAATGATAAAGTAAAGTCTCATCGGTAAAGAGTAATCTCAAAACCGGTCTCGATGCTCATCGGTAAAAGGTATAAATTATGGAAGTAAAGTCATAAATAAATTAATAAATGGGTCGAGAGATTGATTGGAATTGGAGATTAGTGTGGAGTATTAGGTAATGGAGTAATAGAAATGCGATGCCAGTAAAGAAAATGGAATTAAGTCATAGAAATGCGATGTCGATGCTCAGAAATGCGTTAACAAATTAATAAGCGAAGTAGGTAAGGAATAAAGAGATAAGATAAAGGTAAAGGTATAAATTAGAAATGCAGTGCTCGAGATCCGGAAAGGTAAAGAATGCCAGAGTAAAGTGTAAATTAAGATAAGCGTAGATGTAAATTAAGATAAATTGTAGATATAAATTATTGAGTATAGAGTATGGAAGTGTAGGTGTAAATGCATTGATCAAAACTAGGAAAAAGATTAACAATCACTAAAAAACATATCATCATCACAATAAACAATAAATCAGCACAAATCACAAAAGCAAAACAAGGTGTGGGGGTGTGGAAGTGGGTGAGGGTGTAGAGGTGGGTGTGGGTGTGGAAGTGGGTGAAGTGCGGGAAGTGGATGTGGATATGGATGTAGAGTTGGTGTGGGTGAGGTGTGCGTGGTTGAAAAGGGAAGTGGGTGAGGGTTAGAGGAGTGGGTAGGGTGTGGAAGTGGGTGAGATTGTAGGTGTGGAAGTGGTGAGGTGTGTGTGGGTGTGGTGAGGTGTGGAAATGGCAGATTATCCGGTGAAAGGGTGTGAAGTGCGTGGGTGTAAGTAGGGTAGAGGTGAAGGGCGAAGTGCGAGGTGAGGTGTGAATTGGGTAATGGGTGTAGATTGGTACGGTCGCCGATTAAAGTCGGTCGTAAAGTAAAGGAAGTGGGTGCGGTGTAGGTTTAAGATGTAAATCCGATGTGAGATAAAGGGTCGAGGTAAAGGTGAAAAGATGTGAAGTGAAAGGTAAAGGTAAAGGTCAAGTCGTCGGTCTCATTAAGGTAAAGGTATCGTCAATGGCGTCGGTGGCAAAGGTAAAGATGCGTGAAAGCAAAGGGTAAAGGATCGATTAAAGATGAAGGTCACCGATTATCGGTCTCGTCGATTAGCGGTCAGGTGGGGAATCATGCAAATTGAGTCTCGGTCGGTCTTCATGCAGTCGATTAAAGGTAAAGGTCGTCGTCGTCGATGGCAATCGATGAAAGTCTCGTCATCGATATCGTCGATCTCGGTCCGGAAGAGTAAAGAGATCTCGGTAAAAGTCTCGATCTCGAAATCGAGTATGGAGTCATAGAAATCTGAGTGTCGTGAAGTCGAAGGTCTGATATAAGATCTTAAATCGAGAAAATCGTCATGCGATAAGATCTAATCGGTATGAATCCTCGATGCGGGAATGCAGATCTCGTGAGAGATCTCGTCGTGATGCTCAGATCTTTCATTAATAAGATCTGGTGAATCTCGTTAAAGATGTGAACGTCTGGATTAAAGTGTAAAGTCGTTATAAAGTCATCACTGGAATCTCCCCGATGAAGTCTGTCATCCTGATCTCGGTAAAGAATCGAAAATCGATATCACGATCTCGAAATCGTCGCGAAAGGTCGTAAAATTAAAGTCGTCATTAAAAGTCATCGTCTCGATAAAAGAAATAGTCGTCTCGTCATACGAAAATGCAGTATCTCACGTCTCGAAAATCTGATGCTCGATAAAAAAGGAGTCGTCGAAGTCGTTAAAGAAGTCATTAAGGATCAGAGTCTCGTGCAAAGTCTATCGAAATCGGTAAAGGAAGTGATATAAGATCTTCGGTAAAGGTATGATCTTTCGATGAAATCGAAATGATAAAGGAAATCGTCTCGGTAAAAGTCGATCTGTTGAGAGTCTCGAGAAAGTCGACGAAAGTCGATGGAAGTAATCTTCGGTAAAGGAAATCAGAAATCGGTAAAAGTCATCGGAAAGTCGGTAAAAGGAAGTGGAATCTTCGATGAAAGTCAATCGGTGAAAAGGAAGTCGAAATGATGCGGGTATGAAATAGGTGAGTGCAAAGGAGTAGAGAAGTGAAAGGTAAAAACAAATTGATGAAGGTTAAAGGTGTCGATGAAAGGTTAATAAGTCGATAAAGAAGTCGTCATTAAAGGTCATCGTCGGTCGCGAAAGTCGTTAATCGTGTAAGGTCTCTGATCTCGAAAATCGATGCGAAAGGTCGGTCATAGAATCGATGAAGTCATAAATCGATTATGCGATTCGAAGTCGCGGTAAAGTCTCGGAAAGTCGTCGATTAATGCGATGAAAAGTCGAGAAATGCGATCGAGTCATCGGTCTCGGTAAAGGAATTAATAGAAATCGTTAAAGGTGTCGATGAAAGGTCGAAATGCGGTATGAATCTGGAAGTGATGTCGTGAAAATCGGTAAAAGAAGTCGATAAAGGGTCCGCTGGGGTCTCGTCGGTGGCAAAGGAGTCGCCGTGGAATCGTGATTAAAGGTCGCCGTGATGTCGATGAAGAGGCCGATTATGGAATCGCCAAATGCAGTGCTCGGAATAATAAAATTAATGATGAAAGTCGCCAGTAGTTAAAGGGATTAAAGGTCATTAAAGGTGTCTGATTAATGCGGTGATGGAAGTCGGTCGCCATCGGTCGTAAGATTAAGTATAGAAATTCGATTAACGATTATGAAACCGGTGTAAAATGCGGTGAAAAGTAAAGGTATGCGATTGGTCTCGGGTGAGGGTGAGGATTGAGGTGGTGAGGGAGTGAGGGGGTGAAGGTGAGGTGAGGGTGGGGTGAGGTGTGGGTGTGGGTGTGGGTGTGTGGGTGTGGGTGTGGGTGTGGGCATGGGTGAGGGTGAGGGTGGGAAGGTGGTTGAGGTAGGAATGTTGGTGTGGGTGTTGGTGTTGGTGTGGGTGAGGGTGAGGGTGAGAGGGGTGAGGGTGTGGGTGAGGGGTGAAATTGAGGGTGATGTGTGGGTGTGGGCATGGGTGAGGGTGAGGGTGAGGGTGAGGGTGAGGGTGGGTGTGGGTGTGGGTGAGGGTGAAGGGTGTGGGTGTGGGTGTGGGTGTGGGTGTGGAAGTGGGTGAGGGTGAGGCTTTAGGTTGGAGAGTATGAGGGGAAGAAGGGGTGACAAGAAAGGAGAGGGGGACCTGGCAATAGAGTAGGGCTGATCACAACTCACCAGACGGCCTGCTGCACCTCTGTGACGTCCCCCTGTATGGCATGCTGATGGAGGATAGTGAGAGCTGCCTGGGGCAAGTCTCCCGACCACTTGAAGGAAGGGTCCTGGTAAGTAACACAAAACAAGTGGGGACAATCATGTGTGGCCTGAACTGTAAAACATACATCCACTTCAACAGTAATGTCGCTATGGTTACAAATATGACACACTTGCATGTATTTAAACCAGAAAGGTAATATGAGGGAAAAAGAATATGTATAACAAATCACAAAATGACAGAAAATTATATTAAAATATGTAGCCCATGTTCGAAAAAGATCAGAATTTTGTAAAATCACATAGATATGAAGCGGTCCTATAATACTCGAGTCCTGTGCAATCTGGCAGTTAGATAGAACCTGTGGTACAATACTTTAACTCTTGTACAGAAAACTGTAAAATTGACTTGCATCTGAAAACTTACATTAAATTTTCTGACTTCATGTTCAATAAATATACACATAAGATCTTCATGTTGTTTGACGTCTGTCCAGTTGTCATCCTCAGGGATACCCCGATCTTCACGTGTAGCCAGCTTCAGCTTCAAGTGGATCTCCCCCCTGTATATTGGACTTGGAAGATCTACCTTGCAGTTGGTACCACTGGTCCAGCCCAACTGATGGAATGTTCTGCAACACACATACACACACAGCTCTAAGATGTAACACACAGTTCCAAGATGACAATCTGTACCTGGTACCACTGATCCAGCCCAACTGATAGATGTTCTGTAACACACACACACACACACACACACAGCTCTAAGATGAAACACACAGCTACAAGATGACAATCTGTACCTGGTACCACTGGTCCAGCCCAACTGATAGATGTTCTGTAACACACAACACACACACACACAGCTCCAAGATGTAACACACAGCTCCAAGATGACAATCTGTACCTGGTACCACTGGTCCAGCCAAACTGATAGATGTTCTGTAACATTCACACACACAGCTCCAAGATGTAACACACACACAGAGCTCCAAGATGTAAGAAACAGCTCCAAGATGTAACACACACACACAGCTCCAAGATGTAACACACACACAGCTCCAAGATGTAACACACAGCTCCAAGATGTAACACACACACACAGCTCCAAGATGTAACACACACACACACAGCTCCAAGATGTAACACACACACAGCTCCAAGATGTAACACACAGCTCCAAGGTGACAATGTGTATCTGGTACCACTGGTCCAGCCCAACTGATAGATGTTCTGTAACACACACACACAGCTCCAAGATGTAACCGACACACAGAGCTCCAAGATGTAACAAACACACACAGCTCCAAGATGACAATCTGTACCTGGTACCTGGTACCTGGTCACTGCTACAATTTCAACTCTTGACTGCTACAATTTCAACTCTGTCTCCTTTATCACAGCACTGCACTGTGGGGTAAGTTACTTTAGATGTCTTTGTATGTATATTATCATAAGGATGTTAGGATAATGTAATTTTCTGATTAAAATTGATATTTTATACTCATCCTGAATCATGCTTAATTGCTTGTCTTCTTCTTGCGAACTATAGTGGAACACTTGAATCCCCTTTTGAAGCTCCCTTCAAAAAGGTGGACGTAAAATCACTCACCCCAGCAGTCTCCCTTTACCCCATCTTTGGAGCAAAAAGTTGGTCACATGATCAGCCATGCTTGTCACTCTCTCCGTATATTCGAGCCCGACACTTGGATTTGCAGGGAAAATCTGTCTGTCTGAGATGATATTCCGCCACTTGAGGATGTGTTGCTTCCATCGCAGTGAAGCCTTTATTCCGTGCATATTTCTCAAAACTTTGCCTTTTGTCATCATACAAGGTACAGGCTGAAGTTACTGCTTTGGCCGCTCTGGTTGAATATCCTCTTTTCTTCAAGCAAGTCGTGATACGCTCCATGCGTGTAACTGAAACATTGTTGGGTTTCTGTGTACTTGCTTGGAGTGTGGATGAATCAGTAGATTTGGCCACTTTGGAAGTTGTAGGATTGGATTTCCTATATCTTGTATGAGGTTGGGGAACCACTCTCTCGCTGGCCAAAAAGGCGCGACCAAACTCAGTTGTAACTTGTTCGTCACCTTGATTTTCTGTAATACCTTCGGTATTAACGCTGGTGGAGGGAACGCGTGAGCGTTTAGTCTTTCCCAAGATATGCTTAGAGCATCTGTTGCCCATGCTTGAGGATCTGGAACCGGAGAGACGAATGTTGGTAGTTGTTTGTTGAACTTGGTTGCAAACAAATCTACCAGTGGGGATCCTACAGTCCGAATGATGTCCCTGAATGCCTGTGGATGTAACATCCACTCCGTCGGTGATGGATTCATAGGACGGGATAGGGTGTCTGCTATCACATTTCTGGCTCCGGGAATGTGTGATGCTTTTATGTCGATGTTCAGGTTGTCTACTATGCTGAATAGTTGAAAGCTGAGGTCCAACATGCTCCTTGATCTTGTTGACCCTTGTTTGTTGATGTAAAACGCCACTGTGGAGTTGTCCGTATGGATCATCAGTTGAGCGTCCCTTAGCATGCTGGACCAGTGTAGTAAGGCGTTTATAACTGCTTTCAACTCATGATTTGACCACTTCCCCGATGCCACTTTGTTGTTTAAATGAGCTCCCCATCCTTGAAGGGACGCATCTGCGTAGAGATGAATGTTGGATTTCGGCTCTGCTAAGTAGGTTCCTGCGCAGACATTCGACTTCCGTGCCCACCATAATAGGTATGGTTTTAGTTCGTTCGGTACTACAAATGGATCCAGACTGTCTAGATGATCGTTCACAAACACTTGTAGTGGCCGCAAAAGTAATCTGCCTCGGCGTGTCATGTCTTGTGCTGACGTGAGGAGACCTAGTAGACTCTGCCACTCTCGTAGTGGTAACGGAGAGAGTAGTGTTTGTGATATCATCTGTTGTATCTTGATCCAACGGTCCTCCGGGACTAGTAGTCAATTCGTTGAAGTGACGATTCATACTCCTAGGAATTGTAGATCCTGTGTAGGTTCCAATTCCGATTTGAGATGATTTACTAACCATCCTAGTTGAGTGAGTAGTTTGATTGTAAATGTCAGTTGCCGTCTGAGTAGATTGGGATCTTGATGAGCTTGAATCCCGTCGTCTAGGTAAAACGCACTGCGTAGACCTTGATGATGTAGGTAACTGATGATGGGCTTTGTCACTCGAGTAAACAACCAGGGGCCGACGATATTCCAAACGGTAGTACCTTCCACTGGTAGTGACGTCTGTTGAATAGGAATCTGAGGTATCTCCTTGAGTCCTGATGTATTGGGATGTGAAGATCTATGCTGGCTAGATAATCTGACGGACGGATGATCTGTCTGAGTTGTGGAAGATGTACCATTTTGAATCTTGCGGGCCTTCTTAGATAATCCTGGTTGAATTTCTTCATGTTGTAAATCAGTCGAAACTTTTCCTTGGAATTTTTCTTTGGAACTAGAAAAATTGGGAGTAAAAACCGGGTGTGACGATTTTTATTTCTTCGACTGCCTTCTTGTCGAGTAGAGTTGTAATGACATCGAGTAATTTCTCCTTCTGTTGTACATCTGAGGAGTGCTTGTTAAAGGTGGAACTGCTTGCAGTTCTATCTTGTATCCTCTGTGTAGTATCTGGGATACATACTCGTCTCGTAGAATTCCCCAATTCTTCCAGTAAAGTTGTAGGCGTCCACCCACTGGTGAGGGTTGTACGGGAACGGTTGGGGGTGGAAGACTCCAGTCGTTTCGACCCTGTCCATCAACGTCTAAAGTTCCTGGCACCTCTGAATCCTCTGCCTCTTCCGGGGTTACCTCTAGGAGCTCCGGTGGGGCGACGAAAATAATCCTTATATCCCTTGGAAGTGCCATATTTCTTGTCTCTAGCTCTCTGAATTCCTGCAACTTTAGATTTGCCAGAGTAGTGCTGTGATGTCTGTCTGATAAAGCTGGCCAGTTGATCATCATGACTTCTCTGGACTCCTTCAGAACTTCTTTTGCCACGTCCTCAATCTCCCCTGCGAAGATATTCGTTGCTGCCCATGGAGCTCTGAATAACGGTTTGGTGAACTTCTCACTCCATTTACAAGATGATAGTAGACCTTGTCTTCTTAGCAGCTTTAATCCCGCCGATGTAGATGTTAAATGTTCTGACATGAACTGTTGGTCTTTCCTGTGGGTCAGTAAGGCTGAGTAGATCATTCGATCTTCTTCAGATGTTGAGTTTGCAAACTTCGCAATTAGGGTTTCGTTGATGGCTCTTGATCTGGCTAAACCAAAGAAGGTACGTCTAGTGGTTGTGTCTAGTTGCGCTAGCTTCTTGTCCTCCACTTTATAAGTCCTGATGCGAGCGTCATTGATGAGTTTATAATTTTCATCTATGTTTGGGGCCTTTATGAATGGTTCCATGTGGTGTAGTGAAAATCTCTTGGCATTAAAAGGTGGAATGCTTTGACTTTGATACTTCGTTGCCTTCTTGAAGGCTGAACTGAGGTTGTCTGGGACGTCCAATACAGGGTCCATGGGTGGCAGCGTCAGCGTGTCAAAATCGTTGTTAGACATCATGTATGTGTATGCTTCATTATTCTCTTTAGATGGTGATGCAAGCTCCAGACCATTAGCCATCCAGGATTTAATCTCTGTGTTGGAGAAAATAATTCCCCCATCATCTTCAGGTTTAGATGTGTCTTGTTCTGAAGATCGTTGCCGTTGGTCCTGATCTCTAGGTGGAGATCTATGTGTAAGCCTGCACGAAGGCACTCGTGAGTGCCTTCCTGGAGATGTGGTAGGTGATCTGTATCTGCTTGGCGACGACCATGAAGACCTTTCTGAAGACCTGCGCGAATGTGATCTGTCTCTGTGAGCTGTATGCCTTTGTGAAGGTGTATTCTCTCTTCTATGGGACGTCCCGCAGACCTCTGATGATTGTCTGAGTCCGAGGATGAGGATGATCTGCGATGCCTTCGCGAATGCTCCTCGTCTATTGCAGGAGCCTCTTCATACTTGTTCCTTCCTTCATGAATGCCTTCGCAGATGCTGTCTTCTCGACTGTTGTCTCCATGAGTGTCTTCATGAGTTGTTCTTCCGCGAATGCCTTTGCGAGTGCCGTCACGAGTGTTGCTGTCAGGAGTGCTGTCTTCTTCATGAATGTTCCCTTCACGCAGGTTGCTTCCTTCATCCCGATGAGGTGTAGACGATGCTCGTCCTCCTTGCTTCTCTGCAGTCTTCTCCTGTGCGAAACCTTCGTTCCATCAGGTCCATCATCTGCTGGGTAAACTGCTGCATAAAGATGCCCGGGTTGAAGGTCTCGCTGATAACTGCTGTTGTGTCATCTAAGGACTGCCTGTCCTCCCTGGTATCTGCAGTCTGCGTAGATAAGACGTCTGATTGCGTTGATATAGTTACTGACGTCAGTGTAGAAGAAGATCTCGTCTTCTTCCTCACCGGTACTTCAGAGATGAGGATCGGCGGCTCATCGTAAACATCTGCTCCGTCTGATGGGTTGATATCTGCGGCGAAGGACCTCGACTTCTTCGTTGCCCCCACAGACGACTTGGTAAATCCTTGCTAAAGCCCTTATACATCTTAATTTAGTATAAAAGCCTAAAATTCAAAGGATATATGCCGTATAGGGGACCCAGGCGCTCTCACAACCGTCCACTAGGGTGAAGAAGGGGAGAGTGTCAAGCATGGCTGATCATGTGACCAACTTTTGGCACCAAAGATGGGGTAAAGGGAGACTACTGAGGTGAGTGATTTTACCTCCACTTTTTTTTAAGGGAGCTTCAAAAGGGGATTCAAGTGTTCCACTATAGTTCGCAAGAAGAAGAAGACAAGCAATTAAGCATGAGTCAGGATAAGGAAAAATTGATGTTTGAGTCTAGTTAGTTTCATCATTTTAATCATATGTCTGAAATATATTATGTGTTGTTATATCATCTACATGCTAATATGATGTAAATAGTTTATATGCTCAATATCATGACACTGTTATGTATTATAATTATTACACGTTTGGTTAATGTAGACTATAGTGTATACATTGTAGATTAGGTACATATTATGGATGACATGAGAAAGAGTGTGTGTTTGTGTGTGTGTGTGCGTGTGCATATGTGTGTGCTTTTGTGCATATGTGTGTGCTTTTGTGTGTGTGTGTGCGTGCGTGCGTGCGTGTGTGTAATATAGATTGTATTTAATTGTGTTATTTTATTATTAGGTCTTTGAAGCACTCATTTGCCACTGGTGGTTTAGACTGTGGATCACCTGCGTCCCTGAGACAAGGTTAGTAAATGCATGGGTTATGTTCTTAATGTTATGTTACATATCAGATTTTCATCTGTATGTCTGTAATTTGTTAGATAGGCTCATATTTATACTTACATTAAGTAACCCTTGTGGTGTACAGAAAATGTTAAATATAATTATATGTTTACCATGTACTTGTTGCTGTATACCAGTAATTTGAGATGTTTATGTTTTGTTTCAAGGGTTTTATCACCTGATCCATCATCCAAGACAATAAATCCCTGAACCCCTTACAAGTATTCGTCTGTTCTCAAATCTTGACGTGATACCGCTGTTACACACACACAGCTCTAAGATGACAATCTGTACTTGGTACCACTTTCAACACTTACACAGCTACAAGCGCAGACATGTACACACCCACAAAAAGATTAAACTAAGCATTCAGTTTTCTTCCACTGGTATGTGTGTTCAGGGAAACTCAAGGTAACTCCACACAACCATAACATGGCTTGTAACTACAATAGCAGGAAAAGGAAAACTTCATTCGAATTCGAAAATTTTAGCTACAACTTTTGGTGGAAGATCAGCAAGCAATGCAGATCTGGATATATCTCAGCAAGCTGAAGAAAACTATGGAATATGTAAACAGAAGAATCTTTTACTTTCAGCTATGTACTTAACCCATTCAACACCGTAGACAGGAAAACAGCCAAGACGTCACGAGTCCCCAGACACCGTAAGCCGGTTTACCGGCCAGGCAGTAGTCACATCAAAATGATACAAATTTTAAGAAGCTACCTAACATATGATTCATTTATTAAATCTATCACTTTTCACAATGTCTGAAAAACTTACTATATTTCAAATGACCATATATCATCAGCAAAATTAGAATTATAAACTATTTTGTCCAATGTTATTGAAGAAGACGATTCTCAGACACATGCTTCGGCAACAGGTCCACATCAAAGTTGTCAAAGAGCAAAGTAACGATGTTTCGAGGAAATAGTCAAACAAATTGAACAAACTGAAGAATAACATCAACAACTGTACTCATAAAAGTTGTCAAATGTACGTAATAAGTTGCCATTTCCATCTGTTTTGTGAGATCCTGTAATGTAAGTCAGTGACATCTTGGCTTTTGTCGCCTCGAACTTCGCGCTTCAACACGATGATTGCGCTCGGACAAATGTTTAATGCTAAAATATATGCATGAAACATTTTATCACAGGCCATAACCTAGCACGATACGTCCATGATATATTTACGGTAGTTATGTTTTGCACAACATGTTCAGAATAGCATGATTTTACCCCAAACTTCCATCTAAATGTAAAGGTTTTTGTTTACGAGGACGGTATCCATTCCTGTAACATGACTGGCTGCCTTAGGTCACTGGGTACTTCCCGCTGTTATGTGTTACCGAGTGGAAAGCCACTGATATTGGGAAATATACTACCATACATATTAGTTCAGAAATCTTTTTATAATAATATTCCGATTATGTAAAAATGAAAATATAAAAGAAAAAGGTAAGGGGATATTATGACATGTTATAAAATTGCTGCATTTTTTGCTTCCTTGGTGCTTTATCTGGACATTATGAATGTGTAAGTTTGCATTTTCATTAAAAATAACTTATTTAAGTTGTAGTAACAGTAGGATAAGACCTTTCATATTGGTGTGTGTGACATGTAGTAGAAATAATGTTTTCCTTGATAAACATAGGCTCCATCTATGACCTCAGAGTCTCTGGGAACTCAGTGTCATGGCAGTAAAAGCCTCTGGTTAACGATGTTGAGAAAGTTAATTATCTTACAAACTTACATCAAGTCCAATATCCACACAGCCCAGGAAATCATCAATACTGCTGTCATTCTTGGTGCGGGCTGACTGAGCAATCTGTTTGAAGAAACGACCGAGACCCTTGAAGCCTGACACCTCATTCAACCTCTTGGCAGCATCGATGACAGAAAACTCTTCATCATGATCCCTGTCAACAACATCAGCAACATTACAGCATCACCAACATTACAACATCAGCAACATTACAGCATCACCAACATTACAACATCAGCAACATTACAGCATCACCAACATTACAACATCAGCAACATTACAGCATCACCAACATTACAGCATCAGCAACATTACAGCATCACCAACATTACAGCATCACCAACATTACAGCATCAGCAACATTACAGCATCACCAACATTACAGCATCACCAACATTACAGCATCACCAACATTACAGCATCAGCAACATTACAGCATCACCAACATTACAACATCAGCAACATTACAGCATCACCAACATTACAGCATCATTACAGCATCAGCAACATTACAGCATCAGCAACATTACAGCATCACCAACATTACAGCATCACAACATTACAGCATCACCAACATTACATTACAGCATCAGCAACATTACAGCATCACCAACATTACAACATCAGCAACATTACAGCATCACCAACATTACAGCATCACCAACATTACAACATCAGCAACATTACAGCATCACCAACATTACAGCATCAGCAACATTACAGCATCACCAACATTACAGCATCAGCAACATTACAGCATCACCAACATTACAGCATCAGCAACATTACAACATCAGCAACATTACAGCATCACCAACATTACAACATCAGCAACATTACAACATCAGCAACATTACAGCATCACCAACATATCAGGGCTCCAGATAGATGTGTATCTGCTTAAAATATGCATGGATAATTCTGATATATACGCATAAAAAGTCAAATCAGTGAGTGAAAGATACGCATAAAACTTTATCAGAATACCAGTCGGGTTTGTTTACATGCGTGAACCAAACCTGTCAAAATATTGTTTCAGTCCTACAAATTCAATCTTAAGATCTCGAATAGTGTTGGTTGTCTGTATTGAAGCGAAGATTGTCTGGGTTTTCTGAATGATCTCCGTTAATATTTCTAATACACGTTCGGGGCACGATTTGTTTAAGAGCTAGCCCTTAAACAGTGTTACTATCACAAGGTTACCGGTCCATATCAGTAGCAATACAGCTGAAGGCCAGCTACATTATGTGATGGTCCTAAACCAGGGTAGGAATTGTGTCATCACAGCTACAGGTGTTCGACTGAGTGAACAGCTGATTTGTAGTCGGCTACACAGATGAAACCTGCACGTCCATGTGATAATCCCCAATTGACAGACAGTCACATTACAGCTAGACGTTGTTTGTGTCAAAAGCAGCAACCATGTTGTGCAAATTAAGGTTTACTGTGGACTTCCTCAACAAGCACAACAGTGTTGCGTTGATAGAATGAGAGTTGTCAATGCTTGTCCCAATACTAGAGGTGGATTCACATGTTATTACTGAACCCGTGAAGATCCAGTTTACAATTGGTCTTCAGCTGTGTATGAAATAAGACCCGTCCGACAGCCCGAGACGGGCTAGTTCTCTGCTGGACGGTCTAATTTTACAACTACCCAGCCTGATGAACGGGTGAAAAAAAACATTCAAATAACCTGTCCACTGGCACTGTCTATTTAGTGTTTAAGAAGGACTGGTTACAATATTGCTGAGTGCGGCATTAAACAACCAACCAACCAACCAACCAACCAAGCAGCATGATATTACTGACTTTGGCTCTTGATGGTGAATGGTGTGATATACAGTATGCCACTACGGCATTGAACAACTAATGCAAATCTCAGTCAGATGTGCTGCTATACTGTTAAACAATATATCTCCATGAAGATATTAAATAACATTAGTTGAGACATATCTGTATTGAATATCTTCTTGTTGCAAATAGTTTATCATTTTCAGTGAGATGGAGAGAAATTGTATCAGGATAGTAGTATATAGACCTTCAGCTAGCAACAAACAAGGACAGTATTCGTGCTGCAGTAAACCACACCAAGATGTAGCCACCTGCAGTATATTCCTCAACTCTACTACAAACATAGTATTGATCTTTTAAACAACCAAGATTAGTACAATACATTTACTTGTTTGCAATAAGCATCAGTAGTGAGTTTGTGTCTGTTTCCATGAATGCAGTAAATCAATGTTATTGTCCTACAGTATCAGATCTAACTGATGACGGTCTCCCATTGCCATGGATGGTACTGTGGAATAAGGAGAAATGATAACAAATATTTCTCAGTTAAACACAGATGGTACTGTGGAATAAGGAGAAATGATAACAAATACTAGACAGATGGTACTGTGGAATAAGGAGAAATGATAACAAATACTACACAGATGGTACTGTGGAATAAGGATAAATGATAACAAATACTTCTCAGTTAAACACAGATGGTACTGTGAAATAAGAAGAAATGATAACAAATACTTCTCAGTTAAACACAGATGGTATTGTGGAATAAGGAGAAATGATAACAAATACTACACAGATGGTACTGTGGAATAAGGATAAATGATAACAATTACTTCTCAGTTAAACACAGATGGTACTGTGGAAAAAGGAGAAATGATAACAAATACTTCTCAGTTAAACACAGATGGTACTGTGGAATAAGGAGAAATGATAACAAATACTACACAGATGGTACTGTGGAATAAGGATAAATGATAACAATTACTTCTCAGTTAAACACAGATGGTACTGTGGAAAAAGGAGAAATGATAACAAATACTTCTCAGTTAAACACAAATGGTACTGTGGAATAAGGAGAAATGATAACAAATACTTCTCAGTTAAACACAGATGGTACTGTGGAATAAGGAGAAATGATAACAAATACTTCTCAGTTAAACACAGATGGTACTGTGGAATAAGGAGAAATGATAACAAATACTTCTCAGTTAAACACAGATGGTACTGTGGAATAAGGAGAAATGATAACAAATACTTCTCAATAAGGATAAACAATTACACAGACAGGTGGTACTGTGGAATAAGGAGAAATGATAACAAATACTTCTCAGTTAAACACAGATGGTACTGTGGAATAAGGAGAAATGATAACAAATACTTCTCAGTTAAACACAGATGGTACTGTGGAATAAGGAGAAATGATAACAAATACTTCTCAGTTAAACACAGATGGTACTGTGGAATAAGGAGAAATGATAACAAATACTTCTCAGTTAAACACAGATGGTACTGTGGAATAAGGAGAAATGATAACAAATACTTCTCAGTTAAACACAGATGGTACTGTGGAATAAGGAGAAATGATAACAAATACTTCTCAGTTAAACACAGATGGTACTGTGGAATAAGGAGAAATGATAACAAATACTTTAAACTCAGTTAAACACAGATGGTACTGTGGAATAAGGAGAAATGATAACAAATACTTCTCAGTTAAACACAGATGGTACTGTGGAATAAGGAGAAATGATAACAAATACTTCTCAGTTAAACACAGATGGTACTGTGGAATAAGGAGTAACAATTACTTCTCAGTTAAACACAGATGGTACTGTGAATAAGGAGAAATGGAATAAGGAGAAATGATAACAAATACTTCTCAGTTAAACACAGATGGTACTGTGGAATAAGGAGAAATGATAACAAATACTTCTCAGTTAAACACAGATGGTACTGTGGAATAAGGAGAAATGATAACAAATACTTCTCAGTTAAACACAGATGGTACTGTGGAATAAGGATAAAATCTAACAAATTAAACTCAGTTAAACACAGATGGTACTGTGGAATAAGGAGAAATGATAACAAATACTTCAGTTAAACACAGATGGTACTTGGAATAAGGAGAAATGATAACAAATACTTCTCAGTTAAACACAGATGGTACTGTGGAATAAGGAGAAATGATAACAAATACTTCTTAAAACAAACACAGATGGTACAGTGGAATAAACACATGATGGAATACTGTGGAATAAGGAGAAATGATAACAAATACTTCTCAGTTAAACACAATGGTACTGTGGAATAAGGAGAAATGATAACAAATGACTTCTCAGTTAAACACAGATGGTACTGTGGAATAAGGAGAAATGATAACAAATACTACACAGATGGTACCAGGAATAAGGAGAAATGATACTTCTCAGTTAAACACAGATGGTACTGTGGAATAAGGAGAAATGATAACAAATACTTCTCAGTTAAACACAGATGGTACTGTGGAATAAGGAGAAATGATAACAAATACTTCTCAGTTAAACACAGATGGTACTGTGGAATAAGGAGAAATGATAACAAATACTTGGTACTCAGTTAACAACACAGATGGTACTGTGGAATAAGGAGAAATGATAACAAATACTTCTCAGTTAAACACAGATGGTACTGTGGAATAAGGAGAAATGATAACAAATACTACACAGATGGTACTGTGGAATAAGGAGAAATGATAACAAATACTTCTCAGTTAAACACAGATGGTACTGTGGAATAAGGAGAAATGATAACAAATACTTCTCAGTTAAACACAGATGGTACTGTGGAATAAGGAGAAATGATAACAAATACTTCTCAGTTAAACACAGATGGTACTGTGGAATAAGGAGAAATGATAACAAATACTTCTCAGTTAAACACAGATGGTACTGTGGAATAAGGAGAAATGATAACAACACTTCTCAGTTAAAACACAGGTGGTATAAGGAGAAATGATAACAAATACTTCTCAGTTAAACACAGATGCTACTGTGGAATAAGGAGAAATGATAACAAATACTTCTCAGTTAAACACAGATGGTACTGTGGAATAAGGAGAAATGATAACAAATACTTCTCAGTTAAACACAGATGGTACATAATTGTACATGCAGACCTTGGGCCCTCAGCCCCTCTGGTCTCCACCCCGTCATGATTCATCTTACCCACGAGGCTCCACCCACACACTGACACACATACTGTGGTGGCGTTCATCCCCGCAACTCACCAGATGTCCAGGTGGAACCGATCGGTGTGGACACAATCCAAGTCACTGTTAAGGAAAATTGAAAATGTTTGTCAACTTTTCAAATTTACATTGATAACAACATCTAACACTAACAGATGAAAGAACAGCTGACTTCTTAAACTAACACATAATGAACAGCTGACTTCTAACAGATAAAAGAACAGCTGACTTCTAACACTAACAGATAAATTGTTATGTTACCGTTGATACTGTCGGACATATGGGCCCCTGAGAGGGGCATCCAAAACATAGTGACCCTAAATACATTCTCGATATACAAAGTTTGAAAAGCTTCCGTTTTATTTTGAAGGAATCAGTAGCAAAGCCATATCTTAAATTTCACATATGTGGTTAATGTGGTAAATGAGATATTAATCATCACAACATCTTGGGGCATAATATTTCTGAAAAAATCGCAGAAAATGAAAAATGATCTGTCATTTGGTACCTCTTGGATAATGGTATGCCATCAGATAATATGTAGAAACATAAAACATAATAGCAGCTGCATTTGTATCATTTTCTTTGATTAGACAATGCCATTTAGAAAGTGGTCAAATGTAACATATGTTATATTTGGGATTACACTTTCTTAGTAAAGTACAGATTCTAGTACTTTTGACATCCTCAGCGTCAGGCACGTAATCACCAGCACACAAAGTTCACCGCCTAACCCACTCAGTCACCGCGGCTTCCACAAAAATGGAAGTCGGACAACTGGTAGTCCAGATTGTGGACTTGTGTACCCCTCTGATAAGTGTAAACTGGCTCCCACGGCCGAAAGCTGTACTTTACTAAGAAAGTGTAATCCCAAATATAACATATGTTACATTTGACCACTTTCTAAATGGCATTGTGCATTCTTATCTTTTGGCTGAGGAAGCCATGTAGAGTGTACCTGGTCGCACAAAAGCATAAAACTTGTGAACATGCATCTGTTTAATGCATACACCTCAACATGGCAAGGAGAGAAGGGACTGAGATGCATGCAGCTGGCATGTCAAGGCTATCAGGCTTGGTTACTGCCACTCCGTCATTAGTGGACAGAAACAGTCACAAGCCAGGAAGACCACTCCAACAGAAGATAGCAAACTGGCCCATTATGTGAGGCTTGAACCCATCACGACAAGCACTCGTTTGGAGCAACTCTGGGTGCCAACAGATGTTTGTCAACCAAGACCATCTTGTGAGGGAAGTCCTGAAGGGTCATCAGGCATCCAACTCTTTCTCAGGAACATCAGAACATCAATGGAATCTTTGGACCTTGAGACAGATCCATTGGTCAGACAAAAGAATGTTCCTGTGTCATGGTTGTACAAATGTTTTGAGATGCATTAAAACTGCTTTCATACCGAGGAACATTCATCCTACTGTTCCCTTTGGTGGAGGCTCAGTTACGGTGAGGGTATGTGTCTCCCATCAAGGCAGCTACCCGCCCCATATTGATGGACAGCACCACAAGGCCACATCATTCACGTGTTGTGGGAGAGTTCCTGTGGAATAATGCCATTGAGACTCTCCCTTGGCCTGCAAGGATGAACCCCATCCAGCACATCTGGGACATTCTTGGTCTTTGTATGTAGGCAAGGGTTCCTCCGATACAAAATGCTCGTGAACTGGTGGCAGCATTGCATTATGAGTGGCAGGAATTGCCTTGGGAACGTATCCACAGGCTCACTGGTGACATAAGGAGAAGGGTGGAGACTGTCATAAGACTGTCGTGCTTATACTTACATACAGAGCATACAAACTAAATTACTGCCTACATTTTTTGTCAATTACTCAAAAAACTCTTGAGGCATTACTGGTCTCCTAGAAATATGAAAGTTCTATCACTGTTCTAAAACAGGTTGGTGCTTAATTAAATGTGTATAATTGGTCATTTGTTTGATCAAAGTTTTATAACAACAAACTGATTAACAAAAGCCACACCTGTTAACAAGAGACAGAGAGATGGGTGGTGTAACAATTCATTTGACAATATATGGTGGGACCATCATTTGCACTATTGAATTTGTATTGTTGACCTGTCAAACGTGGATGGCAGGTTTGTGGCCAGACATGAGTGTTGCCTTGTTGTACATAATGTCTCAGATGATGATAATTTGTTTCAATGAACATTAAAATATCTGGTAAGTTCACTTTGTGCTTGCACACACTGAATTTTACCAGGTAGTGGTATTGCGTGAAAGTTATTTATGATTGAATAAAAGTGTTCTAATGAGTACCTAATAGCCAAACAAGCACTGTGTGTTGTTCTCATTCAAAAGCATGTGTAAGAAAGGTATGCCTCCAACAAACAAGCAAACACCTAACTTGTGCAAACTGTACACTATGGCCTTCAGCTGATGTCTTCATGAACATGTATTGAAAGATGCACTATTCAGTACTTACAATCTAAACTTTTCATTCCACACAGGGTTGAGAGTGTTGGGTATGACAGCGGTGGTCTGGATGTACTTGGCAGGTACCAGGTCCTTCACAAGCTCTTTGTCCTTCTTCTTGCGGAGGCTGGTTGAGAACTTGCGGAGTCCACGTCGCTCCTTTTCCTTCGTCTTTGTCCCTGACTCCTCATCCGATGAAAACAAGGCAGTTGAATCTCCCTCAGAGGGTTGACCTGGCTGGATGCCCAGCATGCAGTACGGGTCACTGAAACCTGTACCACAGAATTGAGGTCACAGAAATGGTCTACCTAGGGCAGTAGTTACAGAGATGGTCTACTTGGGGCAGGAGTTACAGAGAGGGTTTACCTAGGGCAGCGTCACAGAGGGGGTTTACCTAGTGAAGGAGTCACGGAGAGGTTCTACCTAGGGAGTCACAGAGATGGTCTACCTAGGGCAGGAGTCACAGAGATGGTCTACCTAGGGCAGAAGTCACAGAGAAGGTTTACCTAGGGCAGTAGTCACAGAGATGGTCTACCTACGGCAGTAGTCACAGAGATGGTCTACCTACGGCAGGAGTCACAGAGATGGTCTACCTAGGGCAGAAGTCACAGAGAGGGTTTACCTAAGGCAGTAGTGTCACAGATGGTCTACCTAGGGCAGGAGTCACAGAGAGGGTCTACCACAGCTAGGGCAGTAGTCACAGAGATGGTCTACTTAGGGCAGGAGTCACATAGAGGGTCTACCTAGGGAGTCACAGAGATGGTCTACCTAGGGCAGGAGTCACAGAGATGGTCTACCTAGGGCAGAAGTCACAGAGAGGGTCTACCACAGCTAGGGCAGTAGTAACAGAGGTGGTCTACATAGGGCAGGAGTCACAGAGAGGGTCTACCACACCTAGGGCAGTAGTCACAGAGAGGGTCTACCTAGGGTAGAAAATCACAGAGATGGTCTACCAAGGGCAGACGTAACAGAGAGGGTTTACCGAGGGCAGGAGTCACACAGATGGTCTACCTAGGGCAGAAGTCACAGAGAGGGTTTACCTAAGGCAGTAGTCACACAGATGGTCTACCTAGGGCAGGAGTCACAGAGAGGGTCTACCTACGGCAGTAGTCACAGAGATGGTCTACCTAGGGCAGGAGTCACACAGATGGTCTACCTAGGGCAGGAGTCACAGAGAGGGTTTACCTAAGGCAGTAGTCACACAGATGATCTACCTAGGGCAGGAGTCACACAGATGGTCTACCTAGGGCAGAAGTCACAGAGAGGGTTTACCTAAGGCAGTAGTCACACAGATGGTCTACCTAGGGCAGGAGTCACAGAGAGGGTCTACCTACAGCAGTAGTCACACAGATGGTCTACCTAGGGCAGGAGTCACAGAGAGGGTTTACCTAAGGCAGTAGTCACACAGATGGTCTACCTAGGGCAGGAGTCACAGAGAGGGTCTACCTACGGCAGTAGTCACAGAGATGGTCTACCTAGGGCAGGAGTCACACAGATGGTCTACCTAGGGCAGGAGTCACAGAGAGGGTCTACCTAGGGCAGGAGTCACAGAGATGGTCTACATAGGGCAGAAGTCACAGAGATGGTCTACATAGGGCAGAAGTCACAGAGAGGGTTTACCTAAGGCAGTAGTCACACAGATGGTCTTCCTAGGGCAGGAGTCACAGAGAGGGTCTACCTACGGCAGTAGTCACAGAGATGGTCTACCTAGGGCAGGAGTCACACAGATGGTCTACACAGAGGAGTCACAGAGATGGTCTACCTAGTCTCTACCTAGGGCAGGAGTCACAGAGACCTGGGAGTCTACCTAGGGCAGGAGTCACAGAGATGGTCTACATAGGGCAGAAGTCACAGAGAGGGTTTACCTAAGGCAGTCACAGAGAGGGTTTACCTAGTCAGTAGTCACAGATGGTCTACCTAGGGATGGTCAGGAGTCACACAGAGGGTCTACCTACGGCAGTAGTCACACAGATGGTCTACATAGGGCAGGAGTCACAGAGAGGGTTTACCTAAGGCAGTAGTCACACAGATGGTCTACCTAGGGCAGAAGTCACAGAGAGGGTTTACCTAAGGCAGTAGTCACACAGATGGTCTACCTAGGGCAGGAGTCACAGAGAGGGTCTACCCTACGGCAGTAGTCACAGAGATGGTCTACCTAGGGCAGGAGTCACACAGATGGTCTACCTAGGGCAGGAGTCACAGAGAGGGTTTACCTAAGGCAGTAGTCACACAGATGGTCTACCTAGGGCAGGAGTCACACAGATGGTCTACCTAGGGCAGAAGTCACAGAGAGGGTTTACCTAAGGCAGTAGTCACACAGATGGTCTACCTAGGGCAGGAGTCACAGAGAGGGTCTACCTACGGCAGTAGTCACAGAGATGGTCTACCTAGGGCAGGAGTCACACAGATGGTCTACCTAGGGCGGGAGTCACAGAGAGGGTCTACCTAGGGCAGGAGTCACAGAGATGGTCTACATAGGGCAGAAGTCACAGAGATGGTCTACATAGGGCAGAAGTCACAGAGAGGGTTTACCTAAGGCAGTAGTCACACAGATGGTCTACCTAGGGCAGGAGTCACAGAGAGGGTCTACCTACGGCAGTAGTCACAGAGATGGTCTACCTAGGGCAGGAGTCACACAGATGGTCTACCTAGGGCAGGAGCACAGAGAGGGTCTACCTAGGGCAGGAGTCACAGAGATGGTCTACCTAGGGCAGGAGTCACAGAGATGGTCTACATAGGGCAGAAGTCACAGAGAGGGTTTACCTAAGGCAGTAGTCACACAGATGGTCTACCTAGGGCAGGAGTCACAGAGAGGGTCTACCTACGGCAGTAGTCACAGAGAGGGTCTACATAGGGCAGGAGTCACAGAGAGGGTCTACCACACCTAGGGCAGTAGTCACACAGAGGGTCTACCTAGGGTAGAAAATCACAGAGATGGTCTACCAAGGGCAGACGTAACAGAGAGGGTCTACCTAGGGCAGGAGTCACACAGATGGTCTACCTAGGGCAGAAGTCACAGAGAGGGTTTACCTAGGGCAGTAGTCACACAGATGGTCTACCTAGGGCAGGAGTCACAGAGAGGGTCTACCTACGGCAGTAGTCACAGAGAGGGTATACTTAGGGCAGGAGTCACATAGAGGGTCTACCTAGGGAGTGAAGGAGATGGTCTACCTACGGCAGGAGTCACAGAGATGGTCTACCTAGGGCAGGAGTCACAGAGAGGGTCTACCTACGGCAGGAGTCACAGAGAGGGTTTACCTAGGGCAGGAGTCACAGAGAGGGTCTACCTACGGCAGTAGTCACAGAGATGGTCTACCTAGGGCAGGAGTCACAGAGATGGTCTACCTAGGGCAGAAGTCACAGAGAGGGTTTACCTAAGGCAGTAGTCACACAGATGGTCTACCTAGGGCAGGAGTCACAGAGAGGGTCTACCTCCGGCAGTAGTCACAGAGATGATGGGCTACTTAGGGCAGGAGTCACATAGATGGGTCTACCTAGGGCAGTCACAGAGATGGTCTACCTAGGGCAGGAGTCACAGAGATGGTCTACCTAGGGTCACAGAGAGGTCACAGAGAGGGTCTACTACCACAGCTAGGGCAGTAGTCACAGAGATGGTCTACTTAGGGCAGGAGTCACATAGAGGGTCTACCTAGGGAGTCAAGGAGATGGTCTACCTAGGGCAGGAGTCACAGAGATGGTCTACCTAGGGCAGGAGTCACAGAGATGGTCTACTTAGGGCAGGAGTCACATAGATGGTCTACCTAGGGAGTCAAGGAGATGGTCTACCTAGGGCAGGAGTCACAGAGATGGTCTACCTAGGGCAGGAGTCACAGAGAGGGTCTACCACACCTAGGGCAGTAGTAACAGAGGTGGTCTACATAGGGCAGGAGTCACATAGAGGGTCTACCACACCTAGGGCAGTAGTCACAGAGGTGGTCTACATAGGGCAGGAGTCACACAGAGGGTCTACCTAGGGTAGAAAATCACAGAGATGGTCTACCAAGGGCAGACGTAACAGAGAGGGTTTACCTAGGGCAGGAGTCACACAGATGGTCTACCTAAGGCAGGAGTCACAGAGAAGGTTTACCTAAGGCAGTAGTCACAGAGATGGTCTACCTAGGGCAGGAGTCACAGAGAGGGTCTACCTATGGCAGTAGTCACAGAGAGGGTCTACCTAGGGCAGGAGTCACAGAGATGGTCTACCTAGGGCAGGAGTCACAGAGAGGGTCTACCACAGCTAGGGCAGTAGTCACAGAGATGGTCTACTTAGGGCAGGAGTCACATAGAGGGTCTACCTAGGGAGTCAAGGAGATGGTCTACCTAGGGCAGGAGTCACAGAGATGGTCTACCTAGGGCAGAAGTCACAGAGAGGGTTTACCTAAGGCAGTAGTCACACAGATGGTCTACCTAGGGCAGGAGTCACAGAGAGGGTCTACCACACCTAGGGCAGTAGTCACAGAGGTGGTCTACATAGGGCAGGAGTCACAGAGAGGGTCTACCACACCTAGGGCAGTAGTCACAGAGGTGGTCTACATAGGGCAGGATTCACAGAGAGGGTCTACCTAGGGTAGAAAATCACAGAGATGATCTACCAAGGGCAGACGTAACAGAGAGGGTTTACCTAGGGCAGGAGTAACACAGATGGTCTACCTAGGACAGGAGTCACAGAGAGGGTCTACCACAGCTAGGGCAGTAGTCAAAGAGATGGTCTACATAGGGCAGGAGTCACAGAGAGGGTTTACCACAGCTAGGGCAGTAGTCACACAGATGGTCTACCTAGGGCAGGAGTCACATAGAGGGTCTACCACAGCTAGGGCAGTAGTCACAGAGATGGTCTACCTAGGGCAGGAGTCACAGAGAGGGTCTACCACAGCTAGGGCAGTAGTCACAGAGATGGTCTACCTAGGGCAGGAGTCACAGAGAGGGTCTACCACAGCTAGGGCAGTAGTCAAAGAGATGGTCTACCTAGGGCAGGAGTCACAGAGAAGGTTTACCTAAGGCAGTAGTCACAGAGATGGTCTACCACAGCTAGGGCAGTAGTCACAGAGATGGTCTACCACAGCTAGGGCAGTAGTCACAGAGATGGTCTACCACAGCTAGGGCAGTAGTCACACAGATGGTCTATCTAGGGCAGGAGTCACAGAGAGGGTTTACCACAGCTAGGGCAGTAGTCACACAGATGGTCTACCTAGGGCAGGAGTCACAGAGAGGGTCTACCACAGCTAGGGCAGTAGTCACACAGATGGTCTACCTAGGGCAGGAGTCACACAGATCATCTACCTACGGCAGTAGTTACACAGATGGTCTACCTAGGGCAGGAGTCACAGAGAGGGTCTACCTAGGGCAGGAGTCACAGAGAGGGTCTACCTAGGGCAGGAGTCACACAGAGGGTCTACCTAGGGCAGTAGTCACAGAGATGGTCTACCTTGGGCAGGAGTCAAGGGAGGGTCTACCACACCTAGGGCAGTAGTCACAGATGGTCTACCTAGGGCAGGAGTGACAGAGAGGGTCTACTTAGGGCAGGAGTCACAGATAGGGTTTACCTAGGGCAGGAAAGACAGAGAGGGTCAACCAGTGGTTTAAAACCTTCCATTGTGTGAAGGAATCAGAAGCAAAGCCATATCCAAAATTTCACATATGTGGGTAATGTGGTTAACAGGATATTAGCCATCACAACACATTGGTGTATAATATTTCTGACAAAATTGCAGAAAACAATCTGTCATTTGGTACCTCTTGCATAATGGTATGTCACAAAGAGAGGATCTGTGTATGGCAGTATCAATAGAGAAAAGATCTGCATATGGCAGTATCAATAGAGGGAGGATCTGCATATGGCAAAATTCAGAGAGAGAGGATCTGCATATGGCAGTATCAATAGAGGGGGATCTGCATATGGCAGTATCAATAGAAGGAGAATCTGCATATGGCTGTAGCAATAGAGGGAGGATTTGTATATGGCAGTAGTCAGAGAGAGAGGATCTGCATATGACAGTGTCAGTGAAGGGGGATCTGCATGACAGTAGTCAGAGAGAGGATCTGCATATTGCAGTATCAATAGAGGGGGATCTGCATATGGCAGTATCAATAGAAGGAGAATCTGCATATGGCTGTATCAATAGAGGGAGGATTTGTATATGGCAGTAGTCAGAGAGGGAGGATCTGCATATGGCAGCAGAGAGGGAGAATCTGCATATGGCCGTATCAATAGAGGGAGGATTTGTATATGGCAGTAGTCAGAGAGGGAGGATCTGCATATGGCAGCAGAGAGGGAGGATCTGCATATGGCCATATCAATAGAGGGAGGATCTGCATGTGTCAGTCAGTCTGCATATGACAGTAGTCAGAGGCATATGGCAGTGTCAATAGGGGAGGATCTGCATATGGCAGTATCAATAAAGGGAGGATCTTCATATGGCAGTATCAATAGAGGAGGATCTGCATATGGCATTATCAGTAGAGGAAGGATCTGCATATGGCAGTAGTCAGAAGGAAGATCTGCATATGGCAGTAGTCAATAGGAAGGATCTACATATGGCAGAGGGAGGATCTGCATATCAGACAGGAAGGATCTGCATATGCATATGGCAGTATCAATAGAGGGAGGATCTGCATATGGCAGTATTGAATCTGCATAAGAATATATATGGAGGGATCTGCATATGATCAGATAGAGGGAGGATCTGCATATGGCAGTATCAATAGAGGAGGATCTGCATATGGCAGTATCAATAGAGGGAGGATCTGCATATGACAGTATCAATAGAGGGAGGATCCGCATATGGCAGTATGAGGTGAAATTGGGTTTAACGTCGAGCTAGAATCAATGACTTATCGAGGAGGATCTGCATACTGCCCACAATATAGTGCAATAGAGGGAAGGATCTGCATATACTGACTCGAAGCAGTATCAATAATGAAGGGCAGGGATCCATATTTTAACATATGGCGGGAAGGAAGATCTGCATCAGTATCAATAGAGGAGGATCTGCATATGACAATATCAATAGAGGGAGGATCCGCGATATGGCAGTATCAATAGAAGGAAGATCTGCATATAATAGAGGGAGGATCTATCAATAGAGGGAGGGAGATCTGCATATGGCAGTATCAATAGAGGGAGGAAGATCTGCATATGACAGTATCAATAGAGGGAGGATCTGCATATGACAATATCAATAGAGGGAGGATCTACATATGACAGTAGTCAGGGAGGTTAACTGAGTTAAGGCACCTACCGTCTGCATCTTTGGCCAACAGTCCGTTAGCTTCAATCACAGTCATGTTGAGGATGACAATTGGAGGCTGCAGCACAAGACAAAACTTACAGAACAATATAACACTCGTAAGCCTCACTAAATCCACCCTAATACCTCGGAGTTGGCTACACTGTACATTCACAACAGTATACATTCAAGTTGAACCTCCACAACACTACATTCTAGTTGTCACACAACTGCCAAATGATTGCAAAAGGATGCGCAGGGCCAAAGCTGGGACTCTGATTAACCTTAGCACAATGCTGTTCAACTGTAAATCAGGATATATTCATTATATTGTAACACAGTTTTACAATGTCAGTGTTAAATGGTCTCTCCGTCTATTCCAGTGTCTGACCTTCTCCTCGGTGGCCTTGGCCAGGAGTCGAGCATGGTCTTCTGGCCGCACCCCGAATGCCTCCTGGGCATACTGATAGAGGTCCTGGATGAATGGGGAGTGACAACTGGTGGTGGTGCCGATCTTGTGCTTGATGGTGTATAGAACCTCGATGTAAAGCAGCTCAAACTGAAACCAGGCACACATGCAAGGACATAGGTACGAAGGGTTATTCATGTTAGCACAAACTACCAATCTAATAAAGAAATACCATTGCAAAAGATAATTAAATAAAAAAAAGATTCTTAAGGTTACCAGGAGGCAAAAGAATGATTATTCCAAAGTTAATTCGATAATGTGTGCACAAAGATCACAGTTTTCATACATGAAAGAAAACAAAATTTTTGAATTAGTCAATATTAACATTTGAAAATATACTCATTTTTCTCACAGTAAAATGCTCTATAACAATTTCCAAACATTTTCATATTGTCCAAGATATTTTTATGGATTAAACTTCTTTTATAATTTCTCTCACGACGTTTCGAGACCATTCCAGGTCCCTTAATCAGGTGACTCACCTGATGTTGGGACCTGGAATGGTCTCAAACATCGTGAGAGAAATTAAAAAAGAAGTTTAATCCATAAAAATATCTTGGACATCAATGTACAACTACTAAATGCCACTGAAAGACATCATTTTCATATTGCTTCGAAACAGCTTTTCAAAATATTTTTGTCAAATGTTTTTGTAATGTTTAAAAACTACCGGTATATAAAATGATATTAAATGATTTTAAAATATTACTCAGGAGCATCATGCTACAACATGGGTGAAACTTTTTCACATCATGTTATTTCAATGTTTTTAAAATGCTGCAGGAATGATATGCAAGAACATATTTAATGAAATGTTTGATGTTTTGTGAACATCATCATGTTTTGAAAAATTTTGCCAACCCATACGGTGAGCTGTAACGACTGAAATTTCCTGAGGGAAACTTGTTACAGGGAGAAGAAGGATGCGCACCCCCAACCCCCCTCCCCTCTCTCCTGATCTGCCCATGCACAGACACAACACAACAATTTGTTATGACACTGGTCCAAGATGATACAGTCATCGTCTTCATAGTCATACACTACTGTCACAAACTAAAGTATACAAACATTTTCACGGGTGTGAAAGAGACTCAGTCACACTCAGCTATGCTTGCCCATTTAATTGCTCTTCTAATGTAACATATGTTATATTTGGGATTACACTTTCTTAGTAAAGTACAGATTCTAGTACCTTTTTGAGTTGAGCCCCATCTGGGATTCGAACTCACACCCTCAGAGTCAGGCACCTAATCGCCAGCACACAAAGTCAGACGCCTAGACCGCTCAGCCACCGCGACTTCCACAAAAATGGAAGTCAGACAAGTGGTAGTCCAGATTGCGGACGAATGTGTTTGAGGTTGTGCGAATGCTACAAAAAGAACAGTCAGCTACTGAAGTAAATATTCAGCAGATCCAAGGACAGCAGAGATCCCGTCCGTAGACGTCGCTACCGAATCATCGACTCTAGGATTCGATCCTTGAAGGCCAACCTTCTTGCCGACAGACTAACTGACTTGCATTACACAGACCATGTGTCAGAGTTGCTTCATCTTGGCTGAACATTCAGATTACTTTAGTGCAGATATAAAGGAGTTTTGGCAAGAATAAATAACTGGACTCATCTTTTATATATTTATTACTTATACACCTGCAGAAATCACTTATTTATATAAAACAGACACACAAGTATATATATCCTATACATACAAATATGTAATATGATACATACATGTTGCTACATTGACTAAATATATATATTGTCTACTATATATCACACTCTGTTTGTTAATCTCGAGAACACTGGGAGTGAAGTCACTCATGTAGAACATCGCCTCCCTTTCCCCGGACTGTCCACAAGTATTTCTGACGGATTATTTCTTGTTGTCGACAGTCCGGGTATAAACCGTTTTCACCGAGTTACAAAATCAAACCTACTTTCTACTGGTTGTATAATATGTATTTGATTGATGGCCAATAGAATTTTGCATGACATAGCTTATAACAGAACAATTTCTCTCATGGAAGCGAGGTGGGTGTCAATATAATACTACTTACAATATTATTGTCACTTCGACCACAACCTCGCTTCCGAGGAAGAAATCATTATGTTACAAGTTGTGTCATGCAAAATCCTTTTGGTCATCAATCATATACATATTTTACTACAACTAGTAAGTAGTTTTGATTTTTTAACTTCCATGAAGTGATCTGAACACAAGAAAGATATGTTCCAGCCTTCCACAACGCTCGCTTCGCGCTCACAAACATAACCCATTTAGCATGAACTACAGGGTCGTGGAAATCTGTGCATGGTGACACCATCACCTGACCCCTGGGAGCAATAGACCGATCCAGTCTGTCAATCAAAACTGGCGCATGCGTCAATTTTGGCCAATCAGCAGGCCGGGTGCGTTTTGTGGATTTGTCAAACTTATTTCCGGGGTCAAACGATGCCTCGGAAGCGGTGTGCTTCGTATTATGCCATTCACACTCCCTATATATATTACATATTGCTGCGATTTGATGTGTACCTTTAATACGACCATTACGGTCAATACAAATGTTTTGAGGCGGATCAAGGAGTGCGATAGACCTCACAATCAGTGAAATGTCTGCACCATCGCTCATAAAACCTACGTCTGCTCGAGGGTGAGAATTTGCATGAATTTACACACTTTCGCACATGTGCCAAATCATTACAAATAGATGACAACAAATAGCAGTTTAAGACTTTGCACATGTTATAAACACGGGCAATTCTTGTAACTACAAAATTGGTTTTGCTTAACGTTTTTTGTCAATACTGGGCATTGAGTTGGTACACCATAAACCTGAAATGAGACAGGCGAGAAAGCCGTGACACAATGTAAACAAATCTGACAGCGATCTGTTTCGGTGTAAGGTCGATCGAAATAGCAGAACTTGTTACATTAAAGAACAATGTGGTGGATATTGTTACCATCGCCCTTGGATATTCTTAAATTTGTTTTAAAGTTTCAAAAACACAATCTGAAAGCCTGTTATTAGTGAAAAATATTCGAGGAAAAATTTTTTTTTTATTCAAACGGAAACATAGTCAGTGTCAGTAGTTGCCTATCACGCAACATCCAAATATAAAAATTAGTTCAAATGAGTGTCTATAAAACCATGCCATAAATATTTCAGAATTTCTATAAAGAGATGGGACCTTGAATTGAATTACCTTACTCCATGTGGATCGGAGACGAAAATTATGTGAGAAGAATGGTGACTTTCTGGAATATTGGACGGAATGAAATAAATATAAAAAGTTTATTTCTTTACTATGAGAACATTATTTCTTTTGAATTTTTGTTACAACATATCTTTTTTTACATGTAGGGGAGGTGCACTGGTACATTTTAGGAGTAATAACATAACTGTCATTTTAATTATAATTCACGGGAAATGATAGCAAGGTATGTTTTTAGAATCTTGCGTTCTTAAGTAAACGTGGAAAGGTATTAAGATAAATAATAACAAAATCAATTATAAATTATTACTTAATTGACTGACATATCAGTTTCATGTGATTTTAAGGCAGAGCTAGGCAAACAAACACTAAATACGTACCCTGGCAGAACAAACACTTGCTACTAACTTAGTTTGTTGGCTCCTGCTTTAAGATATCTTTGTTTTTATTAATAATGTATTTACTAAAAGGATTATTCTGAAAATGATTGCTAGTAGCTAACTCATGATAATAAATTTCAACATCCAGAGAATTTGAAAAAACATAAAGGCTACGTTTTGGTCACACTCTTGTCAGGCATTATTCAGTCTTGGAACAGAATAACTTGACTATTCATGTAACTGGAATGAATATTGAAACATATATTTATCCCAGATTTGATGTAATACTTCTTAGAAATCATCAGCTTTTGAGGAGGTTACCATTATTTGAAGACTGAGCCAAAGTAGTGTTTATTAAGATGTTGGTTTTGGACAAATTGTTCAAGGTTTGTTGATGGTTATTTGGAAAATGAGCTTCATATTAAATTGCACACTGGTTTGAAGGAGGTGAAAGCTTCAGGACATTTTCATGTGTGTTTTCCTAAACTTATATTTTGTTACCAATTTAGAAACAACTTAAATATATTTTTGATGACACTAGTAAGTATCTCAGAAAAGGAAATAGATCAAAATTAGTGTTATGTCCCCTAGGGATATGGTCTCAGATCTAATAAAACAAAGATTATCATTGTTTAAGAAGCAATAATGACTATATATATTTTTATTGACAAAAAGCTTTGAACTTAGGATATATTTTTTGCACCTTATTTACATTAGTAATTAGCAGTTAAATATCTGTGAAGGAAAAGCAGTATATTTGTATTTTGTGTAACAATCAATTTCAATGCTAGTTAATTGTTTGGATAACTGTGGATCCTCTGTTCCAAGACTTTGCATAACAGGTTTCCTATTTCTGGAAGATGGGTCAGTGTACAGGTGCAGACTGTATCTTGGATCTTCTTTGTGTTATTGTGGTGTGACATACCTGTACATAAATGCTGGCAGTTGATGAAGTCCAGTATTGTGGAAGTTTGTAAAGTATGATTCCACAACAAAGTACACATAGAAAAATATATTGGAAAGGATGATTTAAAAATGGATTTCCTTATGTTCAGTGTCATTTTAGGATGGTGTACAGATTTTGAAGCGAGAAATTATACTGAGAATTGCTGCAGATTAGCTGCTGAATATTTGCTTCTGGGTATGTCCAGATACCTCGATGTAAACATACTGTTTACAAGCCCAATAACCTTTTCCATATTCCCAAATAAGATCAAATAGGATATGCTGTGATTATTTGTTTACAAATATAGACAAATAAGGTGGACAAAGTCGTAGACGGGAAACATTTTTTCTGCTTTGTTCATTAAAAGGTAGAAACCCATGTTTTCCCATTATTGATTTAACTAAATTTGAACAACAAATAAATAAATAAAAGCGGCCACGCGCAATGTTGACAATCTATTTATAGATACAGAAACGATCTCCAACTTGAACATGTGGCTGTGTTCACGTTTTTTTGTAATATTACGATGGGAATTTTTAAATAAAAAACAAACAACATAATTCAGTTACCCTTTCCCTGCTAACATCTTAGACGGACGTGAATTGCCAGATATGTTATTTGGTTCCAAAGGAAATACGCTTCTTACTCTCACTCAGCAGCTGGCCGAGATGATTTTTCATCGAGCATGCAACTCATTTTCACTCGCCAATTACAATCTGTCAACTAAAATATATTAAAAATAAAGTACGTATAACTTTCCTCTTTAAATATTATTCACAGACGACGGATACCAACGTACTACAAGCAGAATACATCAACAAAAACGTTCACAATCACGTACATTTCGCCGGCGGTGACGCCATTGTGATTAGTCCGTGGTTGTTCCCCCTAACGTCAAAAAAACGAAGTGGGCAGGGCTTATCGACCGGGACTGGATCGGTCTATTGATGGCAACGCAATGATTCAGCATGTCTTCGTTCACGTCGAGAAATCAGCAAACTGACGAGCTTGTCACACATTTTATATATGCAACTAAGTGAAAATCCTTCCTCACATAACGTCACTTCCCGTTTTATCGCTGCAGTGCTCTGGTGACAGAGTTATGTAACCTCTCTGTGGTTTCGATGGCGTGCGAGAGACAAGCAGGCGACTTTCTGGCAACTTTTAATTACTAAGTATTAATTAACCACAAGTTTTTTAAGAATGAATTTGGTGTTCCACTTAAGACTAACCACATGTCTTTCATATATAATGGTTAAAAAAGTACAAAAATCAAAAGTTTATTTGTTCTTTAACAGAGCTACAGATAACTATTTGGGTCATTGAGTTATGTACTCGCTTGTGGTCATCTCAAATGGGTATCCTAATTTTCCTTTGAGTAACCAAATATATTGTACTCACCTCACTTAAACTCATTTCGGTACTTTGGTATTTTCCATTAATTGTAAAAATGTAATCAAGCTTAAATGTTGGTTTATGTGTTTGTTATATATATTTGATCTGTAATATGAAAAACGACAAGAAAGACTGCAAGTTACCAAGTTCATGTGCTGAATAGAACCTCTCAATATATCTCAGTTATTTTATCTATTTTATGTAAGATCAAATTTATTGAGTATAAAGCGTATTTGTACGCAATAGACTTGTAGGAATTGTGTTTTCACATAAATATTTGCGTAATTCACACAGATACACGGCTTATCTGTACCTCATAATTAAAATGTATTTTCCGGAAGAAAAAACGATGCATTATTGTTAATTAACACTGACTGTAACAGGGTGGAAAATATTGTACAGTGGAAACAGCCTGAGTAAAGACCGCTTAACTAAACAGACCGAATAAGTAAACACTATTCTTTGGTCCCAGCAAATTTCTTCATTAATTATCACTATTACAGTTGGGTTAACTAAACTCGGATAAGTAAACAATACCGTTTAACTAAACGTCTTCTCGCTGTCCCTGGAAGTAAATTACTTAGCAAAAGAGACTGGATAACTAAATTAGTGATTACCACATAATCCGACATGAGGGTCACCTGTTAGTCTCCAGCTAAACAAACATCCTACTTACAGCTCGCTGGCGTCATGCAGTTGACAATACACTGACAACTACAAACATCCTACTTACAGCTCGCTGGCCTCATGCAGTTGACAATACACTGACAACTACAAACATCCTACTTACAGCTCGCTGGCGTCATGCAGTTGACAATACACTGACAACTACAAACATCCTACTTACAGCTCGCTGGCGTCATGCAGTTGACAATACACTGACAACTACAAACATCCTACTTACAGCTCGCTGGCATCATGCAGTTGACAATACACTGACAACTACAAACATCCTACTTACAGCTCGCCTGCATCATGCAGTTGACAATACACTGACAACTACAAACATCCTACTTACAGCTCGCCTGCGTCATGCAGTTGACAATACACTGACAACTACAAACATCCTACTTACAGTTCGCTGGCGTCATGCAGTTGACAATACACTGACAACTACAAACATCCTACTGACAGCTCGCTGGCGTCATGCAGTTGACAATACACTGACAACTACAAACATCCTACTTACAGCTCGCTGCGTCATGCAGTTGACAATACACTGACAACTACAAACATCCTACTTACAGCTCGCTGGCGTCATGCAGTTGACAATACACTGACAACTACAAACATCCTACTACTTACAGCTCATGCAGCTACACTGGCGTCATGCAGTTGACAATACACTGACAACTACAAACATCCTACTTACAGCTCGCTGGCGTCATGCAGTTGACAATACACTGACAACTACAAACATCCTACTTACAGCTCGCTGGCGTCATGCAGTTGACAATACACTGACAACTACAAACATCCTACTTACAGCTCGCTGGCGTCATGCAGTTGACAATACACTGACAACTACAAACATCCTACTGACAGCTCAAACATGGCGTCATGCAGTTGACAATACACTGACAACTACAAACATCCTACTGACAGCTCAAACTCCTACGTCATGCAGTTGACAATACACTGACAACTACAAACATCCTACTTACAGCTCACTGGCGTCATGCAGTTGACAATACACTGACAACTACAAACATCCTACTTACAGCTACAAACATCCTACTGGTGTCATGCAGTTGACAATACACTGACAACTACAAACATCCTACTTACAGCTCGCTGGCGTCATGCAGTTGACAATACACTGACAACTACAAACATCCTACTTACAGCTCGCTGGCGTCATGCAGTTGACAATACACTGACAACTACAAACATCCTACTTACAGCTCGGCTGGCGGCCATGCATCCTGACACTTACAGCCCGCTGGTGTCATGCAGTTGACAATACACTGACAACTACAAACATCCTACTTACAGCTCGCTGGCGTCATGCAGTTGACAATACACTGACAACTGCAGGCCAGCCCGGATAACTTGTTCACTGTTACATGTGCACACATATACATGCATATGGTTGTCATGTGCAGGTTTTTATACGTTTGGATAAGTAATATACCTGACAAGTAAACAATTTCGGCGAGTGCCTTGAAATTTACTTATCAGGTTTCCCCTGTATTTATTTTGGTATTGTTTGGTTTTAAAAATAAGCTTTGAAATATTGTTAATTTCATAATGAGGTAGGGCCCCTCAGTACCACTCATTTTGAGCCTCGCCACCTATGTAAGGATAGCTCACAGTTCATATTTTATACTAACTGTGCTGATTGGGTTAAAGTTTATAAAGAAGCCTTACAACTTTGCATTGGCTGGAAGGAGCAGCTCATTGCTTCAATGCAAGGCAGGGTGCTCAGTAATTTTCATTCAGGCTGGCAACTTCACCAGGGACACACTAGTTTGGTCTTGAAGAAACAGAAGGTTAGTTTTATGTATTATAATGTATTTTATTAAGGATAAACAGTACAGAAATATTTCAATTGGTTTATGGTATTTTAAAGTATTATTGTTGGAAGTATATGGAATGTTGACATAAAATATTTTTCAATATCTTGGTGATGTATTTGTGCAAAACCATTGCTTAAAAAGTAATTTGTATTGCACTTGTAATGTATTTTATACTAGTGTTTTGCATAGCATTCATAATTTTGATATTGTGTTTAGATACTCACTATTGAAGGCGTTCTGATGAAGCACCAGCCATTTGATTCAGCCCATAGCTGGTAATTATGTGTAATTCAATAGTCCTTCATCCATAATGCTATTTTCCATAATTGTAATAGCCATCATTTGCCTATTTATTTAATGTCTATGTAATGTTCCTTAAAGATTTAGTTGTATTTAAATGTTATGTTTTGAGACACAAATACATGTATAATACGTGTTCCAGAATAGAGAATATGGCTGGACCTTGCCGTCTATGGGACTAGCCCGTCTACACATACAAATTCACATGGATAAAATGTTTCAGAAGCCTTTTGGTATATTTTGCAAAAACATTATAGAAATGTTATAACGAAATGTTCAGAGAAAACATTGCTAAAACACTTCTGGAACTATACAAATTCACATGGATAAAACATTCATTAAAACATTTGCTAACCATTCAGAAAAATATTTATAAAATGTTTCTGACAAAATTAAACATCATGTGAATAAAAAGTTTCAAAAAAGATCATTTTTCAAAATGATTTGGGGATGCTTTTATCAAATTTTTATTCTAGCTGTCTATGGGCGGTGGGGTAACCTAGTGGTTAAAGTGTTCGCTCGTCACGCCGAAGACCCGGGTTCGATTCCCCACATGGGTAAAATGTGTGAAGCCCATTTCTGGTGTCCCCCACCGTGATATTGCTGAAATATTGCTAAAAGTGGCGTAAAACCATACTCACTCACTCACTCATTCTAGCTGTCTATAAGTGTTTTTCAAACTAAACACTTACCTCCCTTAGAATACAATTTAATTGGTGCCAATTGATTAGACTAGTCTCCTGTCTGGTCCCAAAGCAAAAGATACCAATAGTGAAATTAATCGCGTGAAGAATTAACAAAATACGAACTATGCATTATACTGAAACTACAGGGGAGATGAAAAATTAAATTTGTGCTTGAGTTTGTTATGGCGTCATGCTTGATTTACCCCGATTCTCATTATTTTTCCCAGGCATATTCTATAGCTAATGAACAAGGGTACGCAACAAGTAGGCGTGCAGATCTCTCACAATATGCCAAAATGATACACAGTAGAAAATGTGAGCTTTGTTTTGTTTACATTTCATACCAGTGCTGTTTTCCATGCATGGCATTTGTTTTCACACCATAATTTATTTCACTTAGACGCCTGGGATGGATGATAAATATTGGTGTAATTTTATTGCAAATGTATGAGGAATTCATACTGGTTTGGCTATGAAATGATCGATGACAACTTGTTGTCCTGGCTTCTACAGAAAGTCCACTGTCCGTACCCAGTAGCTACAGCCATACTTCAGTGACTAGTAGGTTTTCTGGCAGATAAATGTCAATTGAGGTGATTCGCAGCGAAACCAGTCTACATTGTCCTTAATAAGTCAAACTTCACAAACCTCTTTCCGGGTGAGTTGATGATGCTTAGGCTTAGCACCAAACTTGTTTTCCGAAGGTGGTGGTTTTTCTGCCTCTTTCTCATCCTGCAAAAGAAGTGTGATGTTTTGTTAATTACATTGCAAGACTGACTGTAAAGAAGTGTGATGTTTTGTTAATTACATTGCAAGACTGACTGTAAAAGAAGTGTGATGTTTTGTTAATTACATTGCAAGACTGACTGTAAAGAAGTGTGATGTTTTGTTAATTACATTGCAAGACTGACTGTAAAAGAAGTGTGTGATGTTTTGTTAATTACATTGCAAGACTGACTGTAAAAGAAGTGTGATGTTTTGTTAATTACATTGCAAGACTGACTGTAAAGAAGTGTGATGTTTTGTTAATTACATTGCAAGACTGACTGTAAAGAAGTGTGATGTTTTGTTAATTACATTGCAAGACTGACTGTAAAAGAAGTGTGATGTTTTGTTAATTACATTGCAAGACTGACTGTAAAGAAGTGTGATGTTTTGTTAATTACAAGACTGACTGTAAAGAAGTGTGATGTTTTGTTAATTACATTGCAAGACTGACTGTAAAAGAAGTGTGATGTTTTGTTAATTACATTGCAAGACTGACTGTAAAAGAAGTGTGATGTTTTGTTAATTACATTGCAAGACTGACTGTAAAGAAGTGTGATGTTTTGTTAATTACATTGCAAGACTGACTGTAAAAGAAGTGTGATGTTATGTTAATTACATTGCAAGACCGACTGTAAAGAAGTGTGATGTTTTGTTAATTACATTGCAAGACTGACTGTAAAAGAAGTGTGATGTTATGTTAATTACATTGCAAGACTGACTGTAAAGAAGTGTGATGTTTTGTTAATTACATTGCAAGACTGACTGTAAAAGAAACAAACCACTGATGAAATCATCACAAGGGGTGGAAAGCTGTTTTAAATTCAAAATGCCATCAGTATCAGGAATCTGCTAGTAGGCATTTCAGCCACATTTCTCTAGCTACAGGGGCAGTGGTGTCACCTAGTGGTTAAAGTGTTCACTCTTCACGCCGTAGACCCAAGTTCAATTCCCCACATGGGTACAATGTGTGAAGCCCATTTCTGGTGTCCCCCGCCGTGATATTGCTGGACAGCCATTTCCATTCTCTCTAGTGACATCACTGACGATAACTCCAGTGTACAGCCATTTCCATTCTCTCTAGTGACATCACTGACTATAACTCCAGTGTACAGCCATTTCCATTCTCTCTAGTGACATCACTGACTATAACTCCAGTGTACAGCCATTTCCATTCTCTCTAGTGACATCACTGACTATAACTCCAGTGTACAGTCATTTCTCAGTGACATCACTATAACTCCAGTGTACAGTCATCACTGACACTGACTATAACTCCAGTGTACAGTCATTTCCATTCTCTCTAGTGACATCACTGACTATAACTCCAGTGTACAGCCATTTCCATTCTCTCTAGTGACATCACTGACTATAACTCCAGTGTACAGCCATTTCCATTCTCTCTAGTGACATCACTGACTATAACTCTAACAGTCCCTAATTCTCTCACTCATCACCCTTACTGCCATCACACATCACCCTAACTGCTGTCCCACATCTCCCTAACTGCTATCACACATCACCCTAACTGCTATCACACATCACCCTAACTGCCATCGCACATCACCCTAACTGCTATCACACATCACCCTTACTGCTATCACACATCACCCTAATTGCTATCACACATCACCCTAACTGCTATCACACATCACCCTAACTGCTATCACACATCACCCTAACTGTCATCACACATCACCTTAACTGCCATCACACATCACCCTAACTGCCATCACACATCACCCTAACTGCCATCACACATCACCCTAACTGCCATCACACATCACCCGATTTCAACAGGGCATATGGAGCATACTGCAGTAACTCACTGATTGCACCCTGGTCCCGACTGTATTAAACCTCAACATATGTTATAACTGGGAAGAAACTTTCTAGAATGATCTCACACATCACCCTTACTGCTATCACACATCACCTAATTGCTATCACACATCACCCTAACTGCTGTCCTACATCTCCCTAACTGCTATCACACATCACCCTAACTGCTATCACACATCACCCTAACTGCTGTCCCACATCACCTTAACTGCTATCACACATCACCCTAACTGCTATCACACATCACCCTAACTGCCATCACACATCACCCTAACTGCCATCACACATCACCCTAACTGCTATCACACATCACCCTAACTGCCATCACACATCACACTAACTGCCATCACACATCACCCTAACTGCCATCACACATCACCTTAACTGCTATCACACATCACCCTTACTGCTATCACACATCACCCTAATTGCTATCACACATCACCCTAACTGCTATCACACATCACCCTAACTGCTATCACACATCACCCTAACTGTCATCACACATCACCTTAACTGCCATCACACATCACCCTAACTGCCATCACACATCACCCTAACTGCCATCACACATCACCCTAACTGCCATCACACATCACCCTAACTGCCATCACACATCACCCTAACTGCCATCACACATCACCCGATTTCAACAGGGCATATGGAGCATACTGCAGTAACTCACTGATTGCACCCTGGTCCCGACTGTATTAAACCTCAACATATGTTATAACTGGGAAGAAACTTTCTCAGTGAATGATCTGAAGATCATAGAAATCAGGGGAGGCAATTGAACTGGGATTTGAAAAATAAATATAAAAACTGTAAGCTTGGTGATGTATTTGAAGGTTTTATTAGAAACAGAATTGTTTGCAGAAAAGTAAACAAGAATGAGGTATTGAGAGACTGTGACCTGACATTAGAGCAGGCAGTTGATACATGTAAGGGTGGAGAAGTTCTTACTGATGAACAGTCAGCTAGCAAGCAAAGAAACTGATGTCACAATGAGTACAATGCTCATAGGAAATCTAGAGAAATATTTAACACAACCAACAAATCCAAACATCAGTATGAACAATGACAATGACAGTACCCACTGTGTAGAATCTGTATGGACATATGAAAGTCAAGCGTCCCAGCTGCAGTGTGTCACAAGGGCAATGGACATATGGAAGACAAGCGTCCAAGGGCAATGGACATATGGAAGACAAGCGTCCCAGCTGCAGTGTGTCACAAGGGCAATGGTCATATGAATGCCAAGCGTCCCAGCTGCAGTGTGTCACAAGGGCAATGGACATATGGAAGACAAGCGTCCAAGGGCAATGGACATATGGAAGACAAGCGTCCCAGCTGCAGTGTGTCACAAGGGCAATGGACATATGAAAGACAAGCGTCCCAGCTGCAGTGTGTCACAAGGGCAATGGACATATGACAAGCGTCCAGACAAGCATCCCAGATGCAGTGTGTCAAAAGGCAATGGACATATGAAGACAAGCGTCCAACAATGGACATATGTAAGACAAGCGTCCCAGCTGCAGTGTGTCACAAGGGCAATGGACATATGAAAGACAAGCGTCCCAGCTGCAGTGTGTCACAAGGGCAATGGACATATGAAAGACAAGCATCCCAGATGCAGTGTGTCAAAAGGGCAATGGACATATGAAAGACAAGCGTCCCAGCTGCAGTGTGTGGACATATGGAAGACAAGGGCAATGGGGCAATGGACATATGAAAGACAAGCATCCCAGATGCAGTGTGTCAAAAGGGCAATGGACATATGAAAGACAAGCGTCCCAGCTGCAGTGTGTCACAAGGGCAATGGACATATGAAAGACAAGCGTCCCAGCTGCAGTGTGTCACAAGGGCAATGGACATATGAAAGACAAGCGTCCCAGCTGCAACAAGGGCAATGGACATATGAAAGACAAGCGTCCCAGCTGCAGTGTGTCACAAGGGCAATGGACATATGAAAGACAAGCGTCCCAGCTGCAAAGACAAGGGCAATGGACAGAAAGCAAGTGTGTCACAACAAGGGCAATGGACATATGAAAGACAAGCGTCCCAGCTGCAGTGTGTCACAAGGGCAATGGACATATGAAAGACAAGCGTCCCAGCTGCAGTGTGTCACAAGGGCAATGGACATATGAAAGACAAGCGTCCCAGCTGCAGTGTGTCACAAAGGGCAATGGACATATGAAAGACAAGCGTCCCAGCTGCAGTGTGTCACAAGGGCAATGGACATATGAAAGACAAGCGTCCCAGCTGCAGTGTGTCACAAGGGCAATGGTAAACACCCAATGAGTGTCACAAGGGCAATGGTAAACGCCCAATGGTGTCACAAGGGCAATGGACATATGAATGACAAGCGTCCCAGCTGCAGTGTGTCACAAGGGCAATGGTAAACACCCAATGGTGTCACAAGGGCAATGGTAAACTCCCAATGGTGTCACAAGGGCAATGGTAAACTCCCAATGGTGTCACAAGGGCAATGGTAAACTCCCAATGGTGTCACAAGGGCAATGGTAAACACCCAATGGTGTCACAAGGGCAATGGTAAACACCCAATGGTGTCACAAGGGCAATGGTAAACACCTAATGGTGTCACAAGGGCAATGGTAAACACCCAATGGTGTCACAAGGGCAATGGTAAACACCCAATGGTGTCACAAGGGCAATGGTAAACACCCAATGGTGTCAAGGGCAATGGTAAGCACCCAATGGTGTCACAAGGGCAATGGTAAGCACCCAATGGTGTCACAAGGGCAATGGTAAGCACCCAATGGTGTCACAAGGGCAATGGTAAGCACCCAATGGTGTCACAAGGGCAATGGTTAACACCCAATGGTGTCATAAGGGCAATGGTAAACTCCCAATGGTGTCACAAGGGCAATGGTAAACACCCAATGGTGTCACAAGGGCAATGGTTAACACCCAATGGTGTCATAAGGGCAATGGTAAACTCCCAATGGTGTCACAAGGGCAATGGTAAACACCCAATGGTGTCACAAGGGCAATGGTTAACACCCAATGGTGTCACAAGGGCAATGGTAAACTCCCAATGGTGTCACAAGGGCAATGGTAAACACCCAATGGTGTCACAAGGGCAATGGTAAGCACCCAATGGT